ACAAGAGGGAGATGGGGGGGTGGGAGAGGGAGGGAAACACGTCCGCCACTTCTCCAGAAGCAAGCAATGGAAACGGGGGCGGGGGGGGCTGTTGAAAGTTTGGGGGGGGGAGAGAGAAGGAAAGCGGTGGCTGGGTTTGAAGGGGGGGTGGCGGGGGGGGAGGTTGAAAACCGAAACGAAAATTGTAAATTTTTTTTTAAAAGTTTGTTGGAAAAAAAAACGAAAAAAAAAATATTGTCTTATTCTATAAAAAGAAAAAGAAAAAAAAAACATACCACATTTCGAACCCAGTTTAGACCTTTGTAATCCCTGATGGTTCGCGTGGGGGGAAGAAAATAAAATAAAAGAGAGAGAGAGAGAGAGCAGCACTTAAAAGGCTGTCTATGATCGGATAGGAAAATAGACGTGGTAGAACGGCTGGGCTGGCAGTTTATCCTTGGGGCTGGGGAGGGGGGGTGCGAGGAAGACAGAGTGCAGGGGGGCGGTTAAGCACCCTCCATCTTCTGCCTTTAAACCCAGGTCGGTCGGTCGTGTCGTCAACCTGTCATTCATTTTTTTTCCAAGATGGGCACCAGGAATCCTTCCGGCATTTATACCCCTGGGTCAAAAGCTAAGCCTTTTCCTCTCCACCTTGTTAAAATCCAGCCTGCATTTTCAGACAGTGAATTGCCGGGCGGCCTGTTAGATGTTGGGTGCCACAGGCTGGAGGCCAACTTCCCTTGCCGTCCCTCCGTCGACATTTCAAGCACCATCCCTCTTGAGGTACCACCAAGCCAGCCCCTTGCGCCCCCCCACCCCCCGTTTGAAGCCCATTGCTCTCTTATTCCTCTCCTCTCCCGAGACTTAGCCGGGCCCCCTTTTCGATCATCTCTCTGTATAGAATCTACATCCTCCTCTTCTCCTATTTTTTTATGTTTTAGTTGGATTTTATTTTGCCTGGAATGAAAGGAACTTTAAAAACCTCTCAGGGTTTCTGCCGGGGTCTTCTGGCTGTTAGCACCTGACATGTATATAGGGAAAATCTGTGCTAGCAGGGGGTTTTCAGCTTCCAAGTAGCTTTAATGTGGAGCATCAAAATTTTGCTTTTTCTTTTTTCTTTTTTTAAATAAAACTGGTCAAGTGCAGGTTTGGGGGTGGGAGAGGGAAAGCCCCATCATCCTGCGGTGGTTGTGGTTTTGATAAACGGATCGGCCTCTGTACATAACGTGGGGGAGGGGAGAAGGTCTGCGTTGGGTGGGTGGGAGGGATGGATGTCTCTGTTTCTGGCTTGGCAAATGAATTTTGGCGTTTATTTGAAAGCTTAGATCTCTTTCTGCTAGTAATCCTCCCTCTTTTTTCCTCTCTTCCTCTTCCCCTATTCTCTTTTTCCCCCTTTATTGAATTAACTGTGTCTTTTTTTTTTTTTGCTTCTCACAGAACAAAAGGGTTTGGGAGTCTTTCACTGGATGTCCTCTGGATGCCCCCTCCCCATTGTGTAAATACCCCTTCTCTGCTTCTTGGCGCTGCTTGTTTCCAGCTTGGCTAATTATGTCTGATTCCCATCCACAGGGATTAAAAGATTAGTTCCTTGTGATTCACTGTTTGAAATTCAAACTTTTTAAATTTGGGGGTGGGTGGGGTTCTTGTTCCCTTTTTTTTTCTTTTTAAATGTTGGCTGTTGTTTGTTTTTTTTTTAAGAATAGCTTCTCCTGAAATCTCTTCCCAGTCTTTCCAAGCAGCTTTTTATTTCCATCCCCATTTTAAAAAAACAACACACAGACAAACAAAATGCTTATTTCTGCATTTCAGCCAGATTTCAGAATCCTGTCAGCTCTTGGGAGGTGCCTGGGAAATTAATTTTTTTGTGTTTGTTTTAAAAAGGAAGTTGATATGGACGAGGGGAAGGAAAGGCAGAATTCTATCTCCGTGCATGTGTGTGATTGTGTGACAACTGTTTTTATATCTAAATTTAACCGGTATTTTCAATACTCAAAGCCACCGGGCGGGGAAAGAGGGTATTATTCTTCTGGAGAAAAAACAGTGCACTTGCCCAGAATGAGACAGGGAAGGAAATCCGTGTTTGTGAGTAACTTCAGTAACTGGACCGCTTGCATATGTTTGAAATTGTGGAGGGGGCTCTGATCAGTTGATGGTGGGCATTCCTTGCTCACGTGCAGAGTGCCAGCTGCTGAGATCACAGGGAAGCGTTCCTGGATTATACCTGTTGGATCACAGGATAAGGGGAAACAAGTGCCGGGCCCATTAGCTTCTGTACTTTCTAGGAAATTTTTTTTTTTTTAAAAAAAATAAGGGTCTTTTCCAGATGGGACCTTTTAAAAAAAAAAGGGATTTCTGGCTTTCTGGACTGGGGATGAGTGAAGCTGCTGCACCCTTAGGCCAACAGACAGAGAGAGAGAAAGAGAGAGAAAGAGTTCTTAGCAACTTTAGTAGATGTCTTTTCTTTTTCTGCACATTTTTGTAAAAAAAAAAAAAAAAACGAACGAAAAAAAGGAAAAAAAGTCAAACGGTTTAAAAAAAATCCTTTAAAAAATTCAGCCTGTTTAAAAAAAATAAATAAATCTGTTAGTGTTTTTTCATGATTGTATGTCTTAGTTTGCTGTTAGACACAAAGGCTCAAGCGAAACCGAAGGCAGTAAAAAGGAAAAAAAAAATGTTTTTACGAATGGTGAAACGTTTTAAGCGGCCAGTAAAAAAATAATAAAACAAAATAAAAAATACGGGGGGGGATTGCCATTGAACATGTAACTCTGTGGTTGTTTACATCTGTAACTCTTCCTTTCTTAACAATTCTGGCATCTGTAGGTTGGGGGGGAAAAAAACCTCCGTTTTTAGAATAAATTAGCCATTCGCTTGACTCCAGCTTTTTCTGTTGCACTGCTAACTTCTTCAAGTGTCGCCGCTTTTGGGCCCTTCTGCTCTTCCTCTTCCTTCTCCCCAATGGAACACAATCTCCAAAGACCAAACCATTCTGGAAGTTAAATTTTGATTTAGCCAAAACTTTTCCTCTTCAATAAAGTTGAATGTGGGTAACTCTCAGAACTTCTGCCTCCTGTTTCGTTGATAAAGAGGGAACCGCCTTTTGAGGGCGGGATTTGCATCTGGTGCTTCTCCGTAACCCATCTTCTCGTGGGGCCGCGAATACAGGCAGTCCTCATTTAGTGACAGTTGGAACCCACAACTTGGTCTTTAAGTGGAACTGTTAACCGGCAATGCTTATGGTCTGACTTCAGCTTTCCTTTGCTGTAGAGACCAGCAAAGGTGGTTAGTGCATGGACAGCAGTTTTTCGTCCAGGTTACAAAAAGAGACGGTGACTAAAAGAGACGGTCACTAAATGAGGATCACCTGTATAGTCTTATTTATTGGGTTCTTGTTCTCCGAGCTGGGTTGTTTTCTTGCTGAAGTTTTACCTGAGTGAAGTTTTACATTGCTGCATAGGAGAAGGTATAAACAGCCAGTTAACTCACCTCCCTCACGCCTTGATGACGTTATCTAGCTTGGTAATGAAACTTCTGCAAAAAAACGTCCAAGCTCAGGCAATGATAAGGACTCATTAGTTGAACCCTGAGCTACATTTCTTTCTGCTCTTGATGGCTTTTATTACTGGAGCTTTTATTGAAAAGTCTGCCTTATATAAGCTTGATAAAATTTTGGAAGGGATTTAAGGAATGTGTATGCATCTTACATCCTTTTCAGTATCACTCTTCCGATCCAATATGCTGTCCCACTGGTTTTGTAGTGCTTATTGGGAATCCTCCTGTGGAGGATATGGCTGGTTTAAAAACGTGATAATTTTTCACTTTTATCCTAGGTGAAGAAAAGCTTAAAATATAATAACACTTGGGAGCTAGGACAGCAAAGATGTCTTACGAGCATCTTAGATACCGTTCATCCTGGCAACTTTAAGATAGGTAGACTTCAATTCCCACAATTCCCCATCATGCTGGCTGGGAAATTCTGGGAATTGAAGTCCACTCGTCATATGATTAATTGCCACCAAGCTATTGTTTTCTTAACCAGATCCACAGAATAAAAGGCTTGCTTACTGTTTGCAAGCAAAAACATGTTTACAAAACATGATGGCTGGTCTGCACAACCATGAAGCAAACCACGTTATTGCCTGAGCTAAGACATAATATGGAACAATTACTGCTTCCTGCTAAACACCACTAGCCACATTCTAGTTTTTAGATATCTATTTTTCCAGCCTCCAGGGTCTTGTTCATAGCTATAATTGAGCCCAACATTCCTGTTACATTTATTAAGTGAATTTTGCCCCATTTTACAAACAACCTTGCCGTAGTTGTTAAGTGAATCTTATCAGAACACAAAAGGGGATCACCACAACCGTCATAAATACGAGTCATTGTCAAGCATCTCTCATTGGATCACATGACCACAGGGATGCTACAATGGTCATAAGGGCAAAAAGCGCTCATCGCTCACTTTTCCCAGTGCCGTTGTGACTTTGAACGGCCATTAAATGAACCGTTAAGTCGAGAGGACTACCTGTACCAATAGTGACGGGCACCTTGGGTGCAATCCCAAAACATCGAGAGCACCAAATGTACAACATCGGCATTGACCAAATCCCCATCGGTCAATTGCAAAAGGCAGCTTGACTTGGCATGGCTGACATCCTACATACGATTAAAATCCCAACCTTTGCTTCTCCCAGGTCCAAGAGGAGAAAAATGCCAAATCCGGTTTAAACTGACTGTACCACCAGCATTATTATTATTGTTATTGTTTCTTCTTTTCCTCCTCGTTGTTGTTATTGTTGTCTCTCCACGCTAGAAACGCCTGTGTGCCGGGCAGGCAACACCTGGAGGCACGCGCTGCCTCCCAATCCAACCTCTTTCCAATCTAGGCTCTCTTACCTGGGGAAGGGAGAAAGGCGAACGCGGAAGCATCGGGAATGTCTGCTCTCGCGTGCCGTATCCGGAGGCGAAGTGGAAAGGCGCGTGCTCGCTCGCTCGCTCTCTCCGCCGCCATGTTGTCTGCTGGCGCCGAAGCCGTCCCCGGCGGCGCCATGTTAGGGCTCGCCGCTTTGCCTGCAGCACATGGCGGGAGAGGGCGGCTCGGCGGCGGCCGCGGATGCGGCGGCGGGTTTGCTGAATGGCGGGACCGGCGAAGGGCCGGGCGGGAAGCGGGCCCGGTTGGGGTCGGCTCCCCACTCTCCCCCTGCCGGGAACCGGGTGACAGTGGTGCTGGGGGCGCAGTGGGGCGACGAGGGCAAAGGGAAGGTGGTCGACCTGCTCAGCCTCGACGCCGACCTGGTCTGCAGGTGCCAGGTGAGCCACCTGCTCTGCTTCTTTGGGACCGGGGGATTACAAAACCCATTTCCCGCGGCTGGGGGAACTACAAATCCCACCCTCCCCGGATTGGAGGACTTGGCTCCTCTTCCGCTGCAGACTTCAGCTCTCATCCTCATGAACTTGGGGGACTACAAATCCCACCCTCTGCAGATTTGGGGGGGAATTAAATCCCATCCTTTGAAGCTGGGGACTACACATCCCATCCCTCGCATCTGGGAGAATTGCAGATCCCACCCTCTGCAGATTGCTGGACTTGAGTCCTATCCTCTGCAGTTGAGACTTCAACTCCCATCCTCCACGGCTGGGGAAACTATAAATCCCAGCCTCCGTTAAATTGGGAGAACTACAAACCCCATCCCTTGCAGCTGGGGGGAACGACAAATCCCAACCTGTGCAGATTTGGGGGGCTTAAATCCTATCCTATCCTCTGCAGCTGGGGGCTTCAAATTCCATCCTCCACAACCTGCACGGGGCTTCTTTCTCAGAACATGTAACTTTGGGGAGGGGTTCCCCCCTTTTGAGGCAATACAAATCCCATCCTTCATAGTCAGCATGTGGCCTGCTTTCTCATGAACCTGTAACTTGGGGGGAGATGGGTTCTCCCTCCCTTATGGGGGGGGAATACAAACTCCATCTTCCGCATCTTTAGGGGGGGACTGCAAAGCCCATCCTTTGCAGGGGGCTGGCTGAGGAATTCTGGGAGTTGAAGTTTGCAAGTCCAATAAAAGTCCCTTCTCAAAGTTTTGTCCTTGGATCTCCTTGTCATGTACGGGTGCAGCCTGACAGGTGTGGGTCTGTGTTGTGTAAACACAGCTGTGTTCTCTTTATGTATACCTCTGTTGTTTTTTTTCTTCCCACAGGGTGGCAACAATGCAGGACACACTGTTGTGGTGGACACGGTGGAATACAATTTCCACCTATTGCCCAGCGGAGTTATAAATCACAAAGCCACTTCATTCATTGGTGAGGTTTCATCCAGGTGTACGCACAGGTCGTCCTTGCTTTATGACTAAAGTGGAGCCCCAATTATATGTAGCTAAGAGAGACAGAGGGTTAAGTAAATTTTGACCCATTTTATGTTGTTCATAGTAGGTTTAGGTGTGTGTCATGTATGTGTTTCACTTTGTGAGCAGGCAACTAAATTTCATTTTTGAAGTGTGCCATTGTGCCCACAGTATAAAAATGACAATAAAGCTTATCTTAAAATAGGAGTAATTTGCCAAGAGTCTGAATTTTGATCACGGGACCGAACGGTTCTTTTTTTTTTGTGCCGTTGTAACTCTGAACGGTCACTGAATAAACTGTTGCAAATCAAGGACTATCTATAGAGGAAAAAAACACTAGAGAAAATACACCAGTATGAATATGCTGTCTTATTCCAGGGAACGGGGTTGTAATCCACCTTCCGGGACTCTTTGAAGAAGCTGAAAAAAACCTAAAAAGAGGATCAGGTGAGTCCATCTCCATTGCATGTTTGGTGTGAAGGAAAGAGAAAAGGAAGTAAAAGAAATAAAAATGCATTGGATCAATTGCTTTAATTCCCCCTCCCAAAAGAAATATTTCCAGCATCATCTTCTCGGGACTTTAGTCAATCAGAATAGAGCAGGAGACCTTGTACTATTTCAGACAAGTGACTGTCCAGTCTCTTCTTAAAAACCTCCAGTGATGACGCACCCACAACGTCTGGTGGCAAGCGGTTCCACTGGTTAATTGTCCTCACCGTTAGGAAGTTTCTCCTTAATTCCAGGCTGCTTCTCTCCTTGACTAGTTTCCATCCGTTGTTTCCATCATCAACATCATTTTGGAAGTCCACCATGACAGTCCATAAGGACATCTGCTAACTCCGTTAAGCTTTTTGTTCCTCCAGACTGTGGTTCTGGGACACACACGGACACACACACACACACACCCATCCCTAAATCCAGAACAGTTAATTCCTCTTTTAAAAAATAAAACAGCTGGGACGATCCTGAAATTGCTAATTCTCATAAGCACTGAGGGAAAGAGAGCTGATCTTCTCCAAGATTTGATCTCTACCATGGGATTTTTTTTTGAGTTGCTGCTTCTGGGATCTCTGAGCTGTCTTTTCTGAAGCCCCAGCCTCAGTTTATTTCCTGAATTTCATAACTATCCCAGCTACTTTTCATTCCTAAAAGGAATCGTAATGGATGTTTAATCTAAACCTCCAATTAGGAGACATTGCTCTGTTGTTTTGATGTTGAGGGGTACAACATCGGAGTGAAATTGGAAACGGCCGATGGCGGGAGAAGGAATAAATTGCATTTTCCAGGGCTGTAATATTAAGAAACGTTTTGCTTCCCCAGGATTGGAAGGCTGGGAAACTCGGACCGTGATTTCCGATCGCGCCCACTTGGGTAAGTCTTAGAAAATGGGGAAATTGTGGAGGGCCAAGTTATTTCCCATATCTCTTATTTATTTACTTATTGATATCCTGCCTTTATTATTTCACAAATAACTCATGGTGGCGAATGTATCCCACGCACCTTCCTCCTCTTTTCCCCACCATAACCACCTTGTGAGGTGGGCTGGGTTTAGAAAGAGGAATGGCCCAAAGTCACCCAGTTGGCTTTTACAGCTAAGACAGAACTAGAACTCACAGTCTCCTGGTAATCAGCCCAAAGTCATCTAGCTGGCTTTTGTGGCTAAGGCAGGACTAGAACTCACCGTCTCCTGGTGATTGGTTCAGAGTCACCCAGCCTGCTTTCATGTCTAAAGCAGAACTAGAACTCACCGTCTCCTGGTGATTGGTTCAGAGTCACCCAGCCTGCTTTCATGTCTAAAGCAGAACTAGAACTCACCGTCTCCTGGTGATTGGCCCAGTTACTCAGTGCCTTTCATGCCTAAGGTGGGAGTAGAACTCACTGTCTCCTGGTGATTGACCCAAAGTCACTCAGCCAGTTTTCATGCCTAGGGCAGAACTATATCTCACCGTCTCCTGGTGATTGGCACAGAGTCACCCGGCCAGCTTTCATATCTAAGGCAGAACTAGAATTCACACTCTCCTGACACTTAGCCCAAAGTTACCTAGTGCCTTTCCTGCTTAAGGCAGAACTAGATCTCACCGTCTCCTGGCGACTGAGCTAAAGTCACCCAGCCGTCTTTCATGCCGAAAGCTGTAACTAGAACTGTTTTAAACCTGGCGCCTTCAACCATACCGTGCCAAACTGGCTCTTTTATGTTCTTTAGTGTTTAACTTCCACCAAGCTGTGGACGGAATCCAGGAGCAGCAGAGGCAGCAGCAAGCGGGGAAAAAGTAAGTGGGGCCTTTGGGTTGAAGCTTCGCTTTCCGAAGCTCTCCGAGACCGAGGGCGGAAATGATTCAGCGGGCTGAAATGGAGAAGGGCCAGCCTCACGAGGTAGTCCAAACAGGAAGCACAGCTAGCAGAACCTTGGACCAATTTGTGTCCAAAGTTTCCATTGCCAAGGGTCTGAATTTCAATCCCGGGACGCTGGGCCCCTGCAACCGTCACAAGTACACGTCAGTTGCTAAGCGTCCGAATTTCGATCACCAGACCCTGGGGACGCTGCGACGGTCCCTTTTTTCAGCGCCGCTGTGACTCCAAACGGTCACTAAATGAATCGTCGTAAGTCGAGGACTACCCGTAGCTAGAATGAGGGTGGGAAGTGCCGTTTCAGACCTCCGTTCGAAGCCTGGTTGGTTTCTTCCAACAGCCTGGGCACCACCAAGAAGGGCATCGGTCCTGCCTACGCTTCCAAAGCCTCCCGGACCGGCTTGCGCATTTGTGACCTGTTGGCGGATTTTAACGAGTTCTCCAAAAAGTGAGTACAATTAGGAGGCGGCAGCAGTTACTACGGGATGGGGGTGTGAAGTGGAAGGGCCGGTTGAATCCAGGGAAGGCCACTAGTCCTCGTTGAGGGTCAAGGGCAGGCAGACCGAAGTGTAGTCTCTGCCTAAGAGATTAAAATTTTTATTTTATTTTATTTTTTTTAGTGTGTTTTAATGTTTGTAATTTTAACCTGCTTTTTTGTTTATAATTGCCGGAGGTTTGTGTATTTTATCTTATCGGGGAGCCTCTAGGAGTCGGCTTGAATGGCAAAGACATTTGATAATAATTATTTGGGAAAACAACGAATTTACCACCAAGCTTGTTTCAGATTCAAGGCTTTGGCCCAGCACTACAAAGCCAGCTACCCAACGCTTAATATCAACACGGAAGCTGAACTGGAACAGTTAAAGGTATTTTGGGGCATCTGAGCGGGGAAATTTCTTGAAAAGCTTAAAGCTAGCTGGCTTAATCCAGAGTTTGCAGACTCAAATACAGCTTGGCCCTCAACTTTCATACATTCGTTTAGTGACCGTTTGAAATTGCAATGGCACTGGGAAAAAAGCTCGATTTATGTCTGTGTTTCACACTTACGACCGTCACAGCGTCCCCGTGGTCAGGCGATCAAAATTCAGACGCTTGGCAGTTGACTCATATTTACGACGGTTGCAGTGTCCCCGGGGGGGGGTCACGTGACTCCCTTTTGAGATTTTCTGACAAGCAAAGTCAAGAGGGGGGGAAGCCTGATTTGTTTAACAACCGTGTGACTAACAACCGCAGTGATTCACTTAATAACCGTGGCAAGGAAGGTCGTAAAACGAGGCCAAACTCAAAACCGCTCTTGCTTAACAACAGGAAGTCGTAAGTCGGAGACTACCTGTACGCTCATTAACTGAACAAATCATGGTTGGCTGCAAACGTATGTTTTGCTGAGACTTAGAAACTTACTGGCCCTCCTCTTCCTTCGTTGGCCTTGATCTTAACCAGTTTGAGTGCACTTGTCCTCCAGAGGGACTAGAAACTTCCCTTTTTAAAAAAATTGAAAATGATTGGGTATCGGAGCCTCATATACCCTTCTTTGTGTATTTGCCCTTTCTTAAAAATAAAGGAAGCGCTCGGCTCCTTCCTTAGAATCAGAAAAAACAAAGTGGCCTCAGGTTGATGTCCCTGTCCATCTTTATTGATTGGCAGATCTACGCAGAGAAGATCCGCCCCCTGGTGAAGGATGGGGTTTACTTCATGTACCAAGCTCTGCACGGACCCCCCAAGAAGATTCTCGTGGAGGGAGCCAACGCAGCCCTCCTGGACATCGATTTTGGTAATTTCCCTTTTGCAAGTTAATATATGTATGTATATATATTTTGTTTACAGGTGTTCTTTTCTCAATCATAAATGGCCGCCAAGCCAGCTTAAGAGTTAGTATCTAGGTTCATTCAGTGCGCTAGTGCTTGTTTTTATTATATTTATATTACCGTAAATGCCGGCGTACAAGGCGACCCGGCGTATAAGACGACCCCCGTCTTTATAGCCGGGCCGCATTCCTAGAACGTCGTCTTATACGCCGGAAACTACCAGTATTTCCGTCGTATAAGACGACTCGACGTATAAGACGACCCCCGACTTTGGCGCCGATTTCAGCGCTCGCGGAAGTCGCCTTATACGCTGGCATTTACGGTATATTAACTATATCATATATTATAAATTTACTTATCTTATTTAATATATATCATATATATTGATTTATTTATTATATATCATTACATTAATATATATTAATGTATATATATATTAATATGTATATTAATATATGTATATTAATATATGCATATACAGGCTCGAATCCCATAAAGGGTGTGGCTAACTGAAGAGAGCAGAATGAAGTCGAAATGGCCATCTTAGTCTCCCAATTTAATTCTTTAACTCTGTCAGAAAAAGAAATTCAGAGTTTGTAATGTTTCGCAGTTGCGACTTGAGCCTGCTTAATGCCTCTAGTTGCGGGGCTGCAAGGCAAAAGAGATTGTAAAAAGTAAAACTGCAGTATAGCAGTTAAAAATGTCAAGGTGTAATCAATCAGACATCTGTCTGAAAAACTTCCTGCATGCATAAAGAAATAAATATATATATATATCATATTTATTACATTATATATTTTACATATATATATATATATATATATATATCACATCACGTCACAATGTATATCATGTATTATATCATATATGTATATCATATTATATTACATTGATATGATAGGTTAGGTTAGATTAGATTAGATTAGATTAGATTAGATTAGATTAGATTAGATTATTATCTGGATCAAAAATCAAGCAAAGCCAGGCAGGGCCTTCAGAGAAGGCAAGACGGTAGCATATAAATTCATTAAATAAAATTTAAGACTTTTTCTTGTCTCCCCCAAAGGTACTTACCCCTTCGTGACCTCCTCCAATTGCACTGTGGGAGGGGTATGCACTGGCCTTGGCATTCCCCCCCATTACATTGGCAAGGTGTACGGCGTGGTGAAGGCCTACACCACCCGCGTCGGCGTGGGGACCTTCCCAACCGAGCAGAACAATGTAAGTCCCTTGAAACGGGGAGCCATTTTCTCTGCCGTCCCCCCACTTTTATTCCCCATTATTTATTTCTCAGCCTGGCATCCCACCGCATCCTTCACAAAACTCACTTCCTGGCCATAAGATTAAAAACCCTATCGGACGGTCTGGATGAATTATGAAGAAATACATTATATTATCCCTCCATCGCCGGTAGTCCTCGACTTAACGACCGTTGGTTTAGTGACCGAAGTCGCAACGGCACTGAAAACAAAGCGACTTAAGAGGGTCTTTCACGCTTAACAACCGTTGGGGCATCCCCTACCGTTACGGGATCAAAATTCAGCCGTTTGTCATGCATTATAAAAATGACTATACTTTTTAATCTATCATAAAGTATGGCATGAAATATTGGGGTGATGTACTTAAGTGGGAAAATTTGGATAGTTCAATGACTAACCTATGAAGAAATTGTGACTGATAAGAATTGGATTGAATATAAGAGAAATGAAGCATAAACAAAAAATTACGAAAATAGGATGCTGAACTAAGGAGAGGATGGTTATAAGAATGATACAAGCTGAAAAAAAAAACGTTATACGTAGAGATGATTATTATTGGTATAAATATAAAAAAAACGCCCATATCTAATCATCTATATATTGAAAATATTAAGAGTTATATTTTGGTTACGGTTGAAGAAAGACTAGAAATGGGAGAAGGGAAGATCAAAGAAACGTATCATTAATTAATACACTAATTATGGAATCATCAAACTTAATCCTTGCTCATTGTTAATTAATTATTATGGCCTTTGTTTTCTTGTTAAAATATAAACCAAGACAACACGCTGTACACCAGGCGCTGGAGACTGTTATAGTTAAAAACCAATAAAATGTTTATAAAAACCAAAATTCCGCCGCTTGGCAACCGCCTCGTCTTTATGACGAGATTCACTTCAACAACCCTGTTGTTGACTTCACAACTGAAGCGATTCACTTAAGCTGGCCACACACAAACAAACAAAATATCTGAATATTTCGGCAGAAAAGCAGGATTTTGCTAAAGGAGTGTCCAACTGTACATTTTTTTAAAATCTCCTTGGCAGGAGATCGGCGAGACGCTCCAAGCACGAGGACGGGAATTTGGGGTGACCACAGGCCGCAAGCGTCGCTGCGGCTGGCTGGACCTCGTCTTGGTGAAATACGCTCACAGGATCAATGGTTTCAGCGCGTAAGCCTCTTCCAAATTTATTTGTTTATTATTGTTGTTATTATTTTACTTTCAGGTTTGTTTGTTTCTTCCTTGGGGGGTTTGGGTGTCCTGTGAATGTCCGCGGAGATTCTCCGGTCATCGAAGTCATGGCTGACTCAAAGGTGGCTTTTTTCCAGGAGGCAACTGGACTTTATAATAGTAGTAGTAGTAGTAGTAGTAGTAGTAGTAGTAGTAGTAGTAGTAGGAAGAAGAAGAAGAAGAAGAAGGAGGAGGAGGAGGAGGAGGAGGAGGAGGAGGAGGAGGAGGAGGAGGAGGAGGAGGAGGAGGAGGTGGTGGTGGTGGTTGGAAGGGACCTTGCAGGTCATCTAGTCCAACCCCCTGCTCAGGCAGGAAAGCCTATACTATTTCAGACATTTCTTATTTTTTTTTTCCTCCTTGAAGACATTTCGCTTCTCATCCCAGAAGCTTCTTCAGGTTCTGACCGAATGGTGGAGAATGGAAGGATTTATACTCCTTGCAGACAGCTGATCATTTGCCTCCTTTTAAGAGAGCCGTTGAGGCCACTTGGAGGTTTACCTGCGTCCTCAGGGTCACCTGAATGGTGCAAATGGGAGCCTTCTTGGCTGCAGGGTGTCCTGGGAAGTTTTGCACCCCCCTGTTGACAGACAAGTCCCCTACTTTGGCCTTGTCTACGCAGCTAGAGTTCAAATCCAAGCAGCTTCGGTAACGCCGGAGGATCTACTACTTCCAATATAGATACTCCTTGACTCATGAACGCAATTTGCACTGCTGAGCACAAGCTCTCTCGGAAGTCAGCAGGCAACTGCGCCTGGCTTTACCCCCCTTTTAGCCTTGGTCGTTAAGCGAATTGGGGTCTTTTAAGTGAATCGTGCTCCCTCCGTTGACCTTGGCTTCTGGGGAAGGCTGCCAAGGGTGATCCCGTGACGCTGCAACCGTTGTAAATCCATACCTGTTGCTAAGCACCGGAATGACCCAATTTCCTGACTGTAAGGACGCCACGTTGGTCATAAGGGCGAGAACAAGTCACAACTAAGTAAACGGCCGTGAGTCAAGGACCGTCTCTTAATGTCAGCAATTGACAAGGGAATGTTTTTGGCTTGATGGTAACACATTTCCTGGACGCTTCCTAGCCTGGCGGTGACCAAACTGGACATCCTGGACGATTTTGAAGAGATCAAGGTGGGCGTGGAGTACCATCTGGATGGGGAGCAGATTCCGTATTTCCCAGGTGAGACTGCGGACTTTGGGGTGGAGATCCATAGAACCCAGCAGACAAGGAGCTGATTGTTGCCTGTGTATCAGTAGAAGAGACTTTGTAACTGAGAGTTGAACTGTGGGGTCCTTGGTGCTTTCTGAGCTGGGTGGTTTTTTTGGAGATGTTTCATGACCCAACTAGGGAACATCATCAGTGTTAGAACAGAGAGGGGTTTGCTGCAAATACCTGTCTATCATTGATGACGTTTCCTAGTTGGGTCTTGAAACATCTCCAAGCCAGCAAGCTTAGAGGGCATTAAGGACCCTACAGTCGTCGTCCTCCTCCTTCTCCTCCTCCTCTCCTCAAACCCACCTCCTAGCACCGATTATGTTACTTAGTAGGATCAAGAAATGTCTGCAAGGAAACCACAATCCTTTTTTTCTTCTCCTCCTCCTCCTCCTCCCCCTCCTCCTCCCATTCTTCTTCTTCTTCTTCTTCTTCTTCTTCTTCTTCTTCTTCTTCTTCTTCTTCTTCTTCTTCTTCTTCTTCTTCTTCTTCTTCTTCTTCTTCTTCTTCTTCTTCTTCTTCTCTTCCTCCTCCTCTTCTCCTGCCCCTCCTCCTTTCCACAAACCCCTTTCCCTTGTACACTGATGATGTTAGCTACTTAGGTCATGAAATGCCTGCAAGAAAACCACCAAGCTCACAGAGCACCAAGGACCCTACAGTCGTCCTCCTCCTCCTCCTTTATGCAAACCCCCCTCTCTTCTAGCACTGATGATGTTACCTAGTTGGGTCACGAAACGTCTCCCAAGAAAACCACCCCCCTCAAGAGAGCACCAGGGTCACCCCTATATTCTCCGTCCCTTTCTCTCGCCGTCCGCAGCCAACCAGGAGCTCCTGAACAAAGTCACGGTGAAGTACAAGGACCTTCCCGGATGGCGATGTAGCACCGAGGGAGCGCGCACCTTCGGCGACTTGCCTGCCGAGGCCCAGGCCTACATCCGCTTTATTGAGGAGTACCTGGAATTGCCAGGTGAGCCTTTGGGGGCCGGTCCAGAGTCTGGAGCGTTTTTGAAACGGGGTTAGCCGAGGGATAAACCCAAATGTTTTTCCGCAGTCAAGTGGATCGGCGTGGGGAAATCTCGCAACTCCATCATCAAACTCTTCTGAGGTCTCCTGCCCCGGACCAGAGGCTGTTTCTTCTCTCCATTCCTTGAACGAGCAGCCGAGGACCCCCCGCCCCTCCCGGAAGCCAACTCTGCCTTTGAATGCGCTCAGGCCAGACCCCTTCCTCGATTTCCCCTGTGTAAAGTCTCCTCTCTCGGCCCTTTGTTCCGTCCCGCCGCTCTTTGGGAAGAGAATGAGGACCAGCTGGCTGGCAGCTAAGATTTGAAAAGATCTTCCCAGGAACCCTTAAGGACAAACACTCCATTTTCACACCGCTGATCCGTTTATCTCCCTACACAAGCTGCCATTGGTTCCCCCTCACCCTCATCTGACCAGCTTTCCTAGTTTACTATCTCTATAATCAGCTAATCCCTTGGGTTCATCCTTGCTAATTCGCCTGACCCCTTCCTGGAGGTGTCCCTCCCCATTGCCTCCAGAACGGTTCATGGGAACTGTAGTCCTGTGACGCAAAGCACTTTGTTCCCAACAGTAGCCGGTCCTGCCAATGTAGGCCGGCAGTGAGGAATGCTGGGAGTTGTAGTTGAGCAGCATATCTACTGTATAGATAAGTAGCGTCTCGGGAGAAACGTCCGCTGTAATTTCAAACCGCCACAAAGGGACCCGTTGTAAGTCGAGGGCTGTCCGTGCCCACTTCCTGCTGCAAAAACTAGCGCACTGTGGTCTCCGAACGGCAGGCATTTTGTGCTGTTGCAGCAATTTATTTTTTTTTTTAGCTTTCTACATTTAAAAAAAACCAGCACGCTTTCTACGGTTAAACCTCATTGTGCCGATTTACACCTCCCTCCTCCAGGGATCGCTAAGTTGCGGAAGCACTCCCTGTAAATTGTGTGGTTTTCTTTTCCCCTTGGGAACCTTAATCAGGACTAGCCTCTTTAATTGCTGTTCGTTAACGGGAAAGCAGCCATTTAGCACAGCAGCCGAAGGGACGCTAGAAAGCTTTCTAGATTTCTATTTGCACAACCTTAACTCAGTACGTCCAAACACATGAAACTTTAGCAGTTTAGAAGGACTTCTGTCTTATTATTCTCATGTCGTTTGTTTGTCTTTTTTGGGCTGTTGCCGAATCTGCCACAAAAAGCAATAAAGAATAACGGTTTATATATCGGTTGGAATAGTGAAAGGAAAAAACCGGCTGTTGTTCTTTTTTTCCTCCTCCAGGTTGCCCTTGTCAGATAGTGCTCAACTTATGATCCGAATTGGGACCGAATTTTCCGTCGTAAGTCGAGCCGGATGCAATTTTTAGGGCGGTCACTTTAAAAAAAAAATCACAAAACTGTTAATGCGAATTCGGCTTCCCAAACGGAAGTGCCGTTTTTAAGTCTGGCCATTCAATGAATGGTTGTGTTAAGTTGAGGTCTTGCCTGTTAACGCATACCCACACATCCACAAACGCAGCCATTTTGATCCTGGAGAATGGCGGACAATGCATCCCCAAGGCTGTGAATCTAGAAACTTCTCTTCGGAGATCTTTCTGAGGTGGTTTTTTTTTTTTTTTTCCCCAGGAGGCAACTGGACATCCTTGTTTGGAGACGTTTCGCTTCTCCTCCACGGAGCTTCTTCAACTCTGACTGAAGAAAGTCCGGTTGCCTCTTGAAAAAGGACCTTTGGGACAAATGTGACCTGGTTGATTGAGAACCTCCATAGACATTTTTGAGGAAATCCATAATAATAATAATAATAATAATAATAAAGTTGGAAGGGGCCTTGGAGGTCATCTACTCCAACCCCCTGCTCAGGCAGAAACCCTATACCATTTCGGACAGATGGCTGTCCAGTCTCTTCTTAAAAACTTCCAGTGTTGGAACATTCACCGCTTCTGGAGGCAGGTTTTTCTCCTGGTTAATTGTTCTCACTGTCAGGAAGTTTCTCCTTAGTTCTAGGTTGCTTCTCTCCTTGGTTAGTTTCCATCCGTTGCTTCTTGTCCTGCCTTCTGGTGCTTTGGAGAATAGCTTGACTGCCTCTTCTTTGGGGCAGTCCCTGAGATATTGGAATACAGCTATCCTGTCCCCCCTCATCCTTCTCTTCATTAAACTGGACATGCCCAATTCCAGCAACAGTTCCTTATATGCTTTATCCTCCAATCCCCTGATCATCTTTGTTGCTCTTCTCTGTACTCTTTCCAGAGTCTCAACATCTTTTTTACATTGTGGTGCCCAAAACTGGATGCCGTATTCTAAGTGTGGCCTTACCAAGGCCTTGTAAAGTGGTATTAACACCTCACGTGATCTTGATTCTATCCCTCTGTTGATGCAGCCCAGCACTGTGTTGGCTTTTTTGGCAGCTGCAGCACACGGCTGGCTCATATCTCAGGGATTGTCCACTAGGACTCCCGAGATCCCTCTCACATTTGCTACCCCCCCCCCGTTACCCCAAATTCTCTAGCTCAATCACACACAATCCATAATAACGGACTCCAATAAATTTTATTAACTTTCCGTGCTCTCTGGCATACAGAACAGGTGAAACGTTGTGAGAAGAACCATCGGCCTGTTGTGGAAACCTGCCTTTCCTGGGGGGGAGGAGGAGGAAGAGAGGGCTGGCTTCAGTAACCTTGATTCGGAGCTAAATTTTAGCCATGGTGAAGTTGGTGGGAACGATGCTGGGTATCAATACCGGAACGACCCCCCCCCCAGGTTAGATCCAGGGGCCTGTGGATGCAATTCTTGCTGCCTGCTTTGTCTACCCCACCAAGCAAAGCACAGCTCCCCATCTGGAGGGGGAACTGTGGCTGCTGACTTAGAGCTGTTAAAGAGGCACTGATGTTCTGTATTAGGGAATCTGCTTCTTGATTTTGGAAGCATTTTGGAAAATCAAGAGTTGGGGGTCTCTGCAGGAGAAAATAGATCTGCCCTGAAGACACCCCCCCCTCCCCTCTTCTCTGCCCCCAGTGATAGGAGCTTGAAGGCCAAGGATTCTGCATTAACCCAACTCCATACAGCCTGATGAGTATGGGCAGGGGGGGGGGTGAAGGAAAAGGACACACAACCCAGCGTCGGGGATGAGGGGTGGGTGGGTGGGAGCAAATATAGTTCAAAGCAGGGCGCAGAAGAATTTCTTTTCCCGGAAGGGGTTTTCCGAGGTGGGCACGGGGCTAATGAGAGGATCCTCGCAGATGTGGGCATCACAATAGGTCATCAAATCGGCGGCCGCTTTGGACACCTATGGGAGGAGGCAAAAAGAACAGAATCAGGATTTGACAATTCATCTGCCATAGAGATAACAATTGGGTGGCATTCAGAAAATTGAGGCTGCAGTACTCTATATAGACACTAGGGGGGCAGTCCCGAGAAGAAAACCAGCTACCAGATAGTTGTTTTTGCCATCTAGTGGCTGCTCGTGGTTTTGCAGCTCGTTTGTCAGCCCTGTCCAAGGTGGTGTTTCTCAACCTGACGACTTGAAGAAGTGGAGATGCATCCCGACGGGAATCCTGGAAGTTGAAGTCCACGCCTTTTCAATCTGTTGAGGTTGAGAACCACCAGCCTATACCTTTGGCCCGTCGGTCGTTTTCCTCACCTTTATTCTGCACATGCTGGCCTCAATCTTCAGCTGCTCCACCATCTTGCGGGCTTGGCCAATGCTCATTGTGCTGTTGACGGGGGTTTCGCCCTTCATGAGGAATCTGCGGAGGACATCAAGAGAGAAGGACCATCCAAGACCGTTCACCGTAAGGGAGATGTTGGAAGACGCTCTTCAAATTTAACCCCAACTGTATCCTTGCAGGCAACTTCTCTAGAAGTAGAATGTGCTCTAATCTAAGCTTAGGACTATGTTGCTGTATTCTAGGTGACCACTAGAGGGCATCCACACAATTCCAAATCCATTACAATGATACATTGTGCCACCTAGTGGACACCAATAGGTTTGCAACCCCATGATTACTCTTTCTCTGGAAAGGTGTTGCATAGTACCAGGTGAGGGAGTACAGTTGGGGGCTTATGAATGCAAAACAAAGTGTACTAACACTGTTACTCCTGCCTCAAGCCCTGGAGAGCAATTGCCGTCATGTAACCAAGGCTGGGTGATTTATCTTTGTTTTAAAAATATTGTTCTCCGGGCTGTTCTTGTAAGAGATCTCTCAACTATCATGGAATAACAGAACAACAGAGCTGGAAGGGACCTTGGAGGTCTTCTAGTCCAACCCCCTGCTCAAGCAGGAAACCCTATACCATCTCAGACAAATGGTTGTCCAACATCTTAAAATCCCCCAGCTTTATCCCCCAAAATATCTGTCTCTTGTTTCTCTTATACGAAGAATATGCCATTGAATCAAAAATGGATCCTATCTTTGGATCTTAACTTGAGGACTGGCAGCATGACTAGGTCCACATTCACCCAGCCGGGGTTGAGTGTGTGGGACTGCATCTACCACGGCACAAATATTTTTTCACACTAGGGTTAAACTGGACAGTTCGTGTCCAGCTGCACCTTTTGGCTGTCTTGCCATAATTTGAATAACTGTGGTTTTCTTAACCGCACCTTAGCGTTACCAATTCCAACCCTGATTTGGTTCACACAACGTGCCAGAAACCATTCAAAACAGCGACCTTTGGGGTGTAGTTGGGTTCCTGTAATATAAACCACAACCTCAATGTGTTACCCAGAAAGAATGAAGGGAGGGTGATGAGAGAGAGAACAAAACATTAGAAATAACTGCATCATCACAAGGAACCATTTTCTTGCCTTATAAACCATACTCCTCTAAATAGCCTTTAGGGCCTCGTTCAGAACCAGGATGGTTCATTATTCTTCCTACAATGACAGAATTTGGCCTACGATAAAGTTGAATTAACGTCTCCAGAAAAACATCTCCCTCCCTTCAGTTCTGATCCAATGTAAACTCCAAATTTTCCCCAAAGCAAACAGCCTCGTTCTGAAATTTCCCTGCTTCATCTTCCTCCATGTGTTTCCTGCCACAAGCCCTTCCTTCTCTGATCTCTGAGGCAACCAAGAGGAATAAAAGGGGGGGGGGAAATATGTCCCCCCCCCCAAAAAAAGTCACATTACCAAACACAAATAAAGACAGTTCTAATACAGTACAGCATCCAAAGCCATTCACGGCCTCTCTAACAGGGAGACGTGAAAAAAAGATTATTTTTTTTCTGTTTCCATCTGTGGTTTCCCACCCCAATAGAGAATTAAGATCTATCTCTCTCATTTTCTCTCCAACTACCTTATTTATCTTTTCCTTCCTTTCCTCTTTCCTTCTTTTCCTCCTACTTTCCATCCCTTATCCATCCATCCATCTCCCTATCTATCCATCAATCTCCCTATCTATCTATCTATCTATCTATCTATCTATCTATCTATCTATCTATCTATCTATCTATCCTTTCCTCCCCAGCTACCTTATTTATCCCGTCCTTCCTTCTTTTCCTCCCACTCCTCTATCTATCTATCTATCTATCTATCTATCTATCTATCTATCTATCACATCCCAATACTTCCTGTTAACAGGTTCCTTACATACCAGTAGCTGGGGCCCTTTTTTCTCCCCTCCCCTGCAGAAATTTCCTATATTTACATGGAAATCATTTCCCCCCCCCCCTCAAGCCTGACCCCCAGAGACCGGGAGAATCCATGCCAGGAAACCCAGCCCAAAGCCACACAGACCTTTGTACAGATTTTCTGCTGAACGTGAAGATGGAGCAAAGTCGGACCGTTTCGGGCTGCAGGCTGAGATGATTTGGGGAGAGTCACCTGGGCTGGGAGGGGGGGGCACTGCAGCAGCCCCTGCAGGATGCTCTCCAAGGTGGACGAGCAGAAGGGGCTGTTTTTCCCCTTGACTTCCTAAGACATTTGGCACACCTTGGCTAAGAGGAGAGTTAATTCAATCGATGGATACCTTGAGGATTCCACAAAGCACTTAACGCTGGGACCAAACCATCTCTTGAAGCGGGGGGGGGGCAGGGCTGATGGTACCCCCGCCCAGGCAGCCATTGCTTAAAAAACAGGGCTGGAAATTGTGGGAGGGGGATGGCGTAGCCAGGCTCTATTGCAGAAGAGGTTGATTGAGGAGGGGGGCACAAAAGGAGGAGCGGAGTGCAAAGAGAGTGGCTGTGACACTTTGTCAGCCCCCCCACCCTTTTTCTGCAAATACGAAGGCCTGGGAGCTGCAGTATTGTCAGCAATAGCTTTCATTTACAAATCTGACATCAACCACTTTTTTTAACAAAAAAATTCTCTCCCAATTCATTGGACATCAGGCTTCCAAAAAGTGGCTTTTTTCCTGCATCAGCTTGAAGACTGTGGGTGACCTCTCTGCTCTGCATAAAGACAGTTGGGCATAATCAAAACACTGCATAATCACGAAGGAAGGAAGGTGGAGTGAGGGAGAGAGGGAAGGAAGGGGGAGGGAGAAAAGAAATGGGAAGGAAGGAAAAGAAGGAAGGAGAAAGAAGGAAGGGAAGGAGAAAGAAAAGGAAGGAAGGAAAAGGGAGGGAGGGAAGGAAGGAGAAAAAAGGGAATGAGGGAGGAAGCATATAAACAATTGAAATGTGTTTTTTTTATAATTCATCTAGAATAGACTATTGCAACATATATATATATATATAGATATATATGTTATACTGGCCTGCGAAATAATTTTAAAGCTGTAACTCACCCCAAACATCCCAGATGCTGGGTTCTTTTTAACTCAATGTCTTAACAGAATTTAACAGAATAACAAAGTTGGAAAGGACCTTGGAGGTCATCTAGTCCAGCCCCCTGCTCAAGCAGGAGGCCTTATACCATCCCAGACAAATGGCTGTCCTATCTCTTCACACCTTGTTCTAATTGTGGCTTGTTTATTTAATTGTAGGTAAACAGATGGAAAATTTAATGTAAAATATGTACCAAGTCCAAACGTCTTAAACAGGTAAATAGAGAATTGAATTCCAAATGGCTATTTCACAATACAATGAGCTAACATGTTCAATATTCCTATCAAGATTAGTGACTTGCTATTAGATGTATTCAGTGGATATTTGTATTACACTGCACTTGTAAGGCCATCATGTTAAATATCTTTACACGGTGTGTCCCCCATGGAAATAAACGGGATTTACCAATGAGTAAGGTAGCTTTTAGGATTGTGCTAGAAACTTGGGGAAGTTGTAGGAAGAAATAATTTGATTTATACGTCAGTTCCATATAATATTCAGGGCCTGAATCGTAAAGATCAAAAGCTCCACCATTTTATGATGGAGACAAAACTTTTCCACTTTTGTCAGATCAATTGCTTGAGTATATATAATGTTCTATGCTCACCTTTTCCCCCTACAGTTTATTCAGGCTATCAATCGGCTAAAAAAATTACTTGCATTTTCACAGTACACTGACTCGCAAGCTAGCCCTCTTGTAAATAAAGCCAGAGAATTGATTTTCAACAGAGCTTAAAGGAATTTCTTTAGGTACCTGCAACAAATAGATAAAATATTCCTTTCCCGAGGAATCTATGCCTAGCCCACAAATCTAGGCTGGTGCGAACGCAGGCCGCAACTCTTAAGGAAGCCTAAAATATATTTAATTATGACATTAAAGACCCCTGTTTCGCTATTAGAAGAAGAAGATTCAGAAAGCAGAGGATCCTTTGGCTGAAATCTCACATTTCCCTTCCCTCCAGCATCTCATCCAGAGAAAAGGCACCAAAGTGGTCCTACGCTTCTGCCTGTCTCCATGGAAACGGGAGGCAGGCAGCCAGCATCCCTCCGACCACGTGACTGGGAGATGCTTGCCGCCGTTGGCGGCCGCAGCAGCATCATTGCAAAAAAAAAAACAAAAAACAAAAGGCACCTCCTCTCCTCCTTTTCCCCTCCCACCTCAGGGGCGGGGCTAAACCCGGAAGAGGTAGAGCCAGACCCACATTTGGGAAATAAAAAAAAAAAAAGTGGGGGGGAGACTTTAAAGGGAGAATCCAGAGGCGGAACAGCAGCGACAACAGCAGCGTTGGAACTAATTCAGGTGCTTTGAAATTTTATTTTTTTCCCTAATATAAACTGACATGCTCTCCCCCTTGGCTTCCTACCTGACCCCCAATCAGGGTTTGCAAACTAGGAGAATGGGGCTTTAAACACGCCCCGCTTTTACTTCTGCATTTGCCCCCTCTTCTCCTTCCCAGCCTATGCTTCCCATTCTTGCATGCAACATAGCTGGTCGTTTGCAAGTCTCCTGTTTGCCTCTCTTAAACTGAGATGGGATGGTGGCTTGTGTTTGGGATGGAGGAAAAGGGAAGCTTCTCTTCTCCCAAACAAGCTAAACCAAGATTTGGGGACTGTATCTAGTTTGTTTCCCCGCTTTCCTTTGTAATAAGAGACCACGTCCAATTAGACCCCTCTAATTTAATTTTTCTTCCTTGTGTGCAAGATAGCAAGCCTCTGCAGGATTTGTATATTGTTTTGTACTAGCTTTGTAGGATTGCCTTTTATCATTTTTTTTAATGTAATTAAGAATGCTTAGAATTTATTTAGAAGCTGAATTGGACATTGTGGGGGAAGGGGGCTTAATTCTAAATTTTTAACGGCTGTTTGTCGGCGCATGGGGCAAGTGTAAAGAGTATGAGTAAATTTTAAAGTGTCGCTCTGGAGAATTGTGAGATAATTCTGGTTCACAGTTATCAAGCAATGGCAGGCAAACAAAACATTCCTGTAATTCTGTTGTGTGTTTAGTAACTTAAAAAGAGTGGGTGTATCTCTCTAAATGTCGGTATTTAATTGGGATGTTACTTAAGCACGCTGTTGTTTATTTATTAAATGTGTATGGTGCCCATTTACCCCTAAGATTATAAAACACGTAAAAAAGAATTTAAAATATCCAAACATTAAGACTATACAGATTAAAGTAGTATTAAAAACTGTACTAAAACCTCAGCTCAGGCTCCTACTTAAGACTATTACTGCTAGTGATTGTAACTTTGGAGCAGTAACTGATTTTAAGCTTTCTGTCCCAAGTTTTGCCTTCTTGATGAAAGAAAAAATTAAAATACTCTGCTTTAACTGGGTGCTTTGCTCCTCGCAATTCTGAACTGGAAGCTTTGCACTGTAATAATTTAACAGTAACTTTATTTATAGGCTTTTATCTTCTTCCCTCTTTTACAGAAGGTAATTTTATTTTTAGATTTGGTTCAAATTAAGCGTTGGCTGTATTGAGCAGGAGAGACCAAATGTATCCCTCTTAATCTTTCATTGAGAAAACAGACACGTGTTTTTATTTACTTACGTGTTGGTTAGAAAATTTTAGGCCTCTAGACGAGATGGGTGGCATGTACATTTAATAAATAAAATAAAAACATAGCTGCCCAACCAATGGTGACTTTGGGCAGCTTACAAAAAATAAAACCTCTTTTCAACAAACTCTGATTGTTTTAACATTCAACAATTTTACTTCTAACATAGTTTTTTGCAAGGTCCATCTGAGTTGCCCAGACAGAATTGGCAAAGAAATGGGTCAGAGGATAAATTTGTTTGGGGGGGGTTATAATTTCTACATCCCATCATACCACCCTTTGCTGTTTAATCTCCTTCCCCAAGAAGTGTTAACACTCTTTGTTCAGATGCAGAGAAAAGTTGAAGCCAAGAAGACACAAAGTGCTAAGAGTTTGCAAAATCCGATGTCTGCAATAACCCTGGATCTATTTTGTCTTTTTCCATTTTAGGAAACTTCCGGGACCTGGGGAGCAGAGTCTTAAAGGACAGCCTAATTTCTAAGAGGAAAGGGACCCAGAGCTTGGTGCCCCCCCCGCCCCCGATCTAGCATGTTCTGGTGCCACCATTGACCCCACTTTGTCTATTTTTCTCATGAAGCCAAACTACGTTCAGAAAAACCGCAATGCACCAATGCACGGTCTTCCTAGCCGGTCTCTTTTATCTGCGTAAAAGCTTTTGACTTCCAGATTAAAATTACTACAATGCTTTAATTTATTTATTTTGTTTTAAATTAACTTCTTCGTTGCACAAGGAACTCTTGGTTATATTTCTCTGCTTTTTCCCGGTGCCAAAACGGGATTCTCGCTGCTTGGGGAAGGTTGACAACCCCTCCCGCTAACATATTGACTTGCTTTCCCGGATCCCCATCATATGCCTTCGGCAAGCGGCACCATGTCGGCAAGCCCCGTACCTTTCTTGGCGTGGGTCCAAGAAGTGGCCTCGTTGCTTATGTTGCGAGTGCGTCGCACGGTCCTGCAGACGGCCATTTTGTTGTGCGTGCTTTTGCTGCTCCTCTGGATCTCCATTTTCCTTTACGGCAGCTTTTACTACTCCTACATGCCCACGGTCAGCTACGTCAGTCCCGTTCACTACCGATTCAGGTTAGTTGCGTGGATGGGGGTTTGTGGCAAACTGGATTAGTAGTGGGTTAATCAGCGGAACAGCTTGCCACCAGATGTTGTGGGTGCTTCATCCCTGGAGGTTTTTAAGATGAGACTGGACAGTCACTTGTCTCAGATGGTATAAGAGCTCCTGCTTGAGCAGGGGGCTGGACTAGAAGACCTTCAAGGTCCCTTCCAGCTCTATTCTAATTCTCAACTATTCTGAAAGAGTATACAGATAGACCTCGACTTAACGAGGGTTTTGAAAATCACAACTGGGGCCAGAATTTTGATTGCCAGGCGAGGAAGTTAAAGTGAGTCACTTCCAATTTTACGAACTTTTCTGCCACAGTTAAGTGAATCATGCTGTCGTTAAGCAAATCCATCTCTTCCCCCCCCCCTTGACTGCTTGTTGGAAACCGTGTGGGAAGGTTGCAAACAGTGATCACGGGACCTTGGATGCTACAGCCATCCTAAAGACACGCCAGTGGCAGGTGCCCACATTTTGATTTCTGTGACCGTGGCAATGCCGCGACAGTCGTAAGAGCGAGGACCGATCGTCGCTGGCTTTTTTTTTTTTTTAGTGCCGTTGTAACTTTGAATGGCCATTAGATAGATGGTTGCAAGTCGAGGCGTACCTGTAATTCTTTGCCAGAATAATTAAAAAAAAAAAAAAAATCACATGCCAGAAAGTAGCTTTGTAAACTTGAGATCTGTTGACGGGGGTCGTCTGAATCTGATTTGGGAGAATTTTTTGACCTTTTTTCAGGACGGACTGTGGCCAGCCTGGACCTGAACTCTGCTCCTTTCCTGTTGCCAACATTTCTTTCATCAAGGACAGCCGAGACCAGGTGACCGGTTTTCAAAACCTGCGGATGACGGCAGTGTTTTGAAATTAAATGGAATAAGGTTGCAGGCAATAAAAGTTGTACGGTTTTATGTTCTTCCACAGCTTTTGATCATTCTGATTGCTTCCTTTCCTCCTTCTTTTCCTCCCTCCCACCCACTTTCTTTTCCATTCCTACCTTCTTTCCCACCCACCCTCCCTCCCCCTCCCTCCCTTCCTCTTTATCTCCTTCCTTCTTCCCCTCCCTTCCCCTTTGTCTCTTTCCTTTCCTCTTTCTATTCTCCCTTCCTTCCTTCTTTCCTTCCCTCCCTCCCTTCAACTTTTGAGGCAGGTAAAATTAAGCTGTAAATAATTAGCTTTAATCACACTGCAAGTGATTATAAACAGGATATGGGCAACTAGACAGATGTTTTTTAGGCACATGCAAGCAAAGCTCTGGACTCGTGCAGGAACATCAGCTGCATTCAGCCCAGAAACACCGTGAGCCACACGAGATGCAATTTATGAGCCGCTCTAGTATTGCATAAGAAACAAGGTGAAATTCAAATCAGGCCTGAAATTCTCGGCTCGCGGTTTTATCTCGCCTGCTGCGCCCCGTTGGGTGCAGCCTGGCAATTAAGTCGGTGTAGCTGATCACTCCATGCGATACATATTGAACTGACCCACCCACATTTCTGCTGCTATTCGCACGGTCGGTAAGCGAGACTTTGCTTGTCACAAATGGCAATCACGTGATCCCGGGATGCTGCCACTCATCAAATACATGCCAAAGCATGACAAAGCAACCGAATTTTGATCACATGTCCGTGGGGAATGCTGTTTAATGGTCCTAAATGTGAGGACTCGCTTTTTTGCAAGCAGTTGTGCCTTCAGACCGATGGCTAAATGAATGGTTATAAATCCGGGATTCCCACACAGAGCGCATTGCAGTAGTCTAACTGGGAGGGGAACCAGGCCGTGAGTAAGCCAGCGAGTTCCACAAAATGAAGATAGTTCTCTTCTTTTTTCCCCACCAGGTTCTCATGTATGGCCAACCTTACCGGATGTCGCTGGAGTTGGACTTGCCCGAATCGCCAGTCAATCAGAATCTGGGCATGTTCATGGTCGTGATTTCTTGTTACACCAAAGGCGGACGCATCATTTCTTCCTCCGCTCGGGCCGTAAGTCTTGAATTTTGTTAGAGTTAGAGGGATTGGATTATTTTTTTTTTGATGGACGGGATCTGGATTTTTTTGATCTGCTCTCGCAATTGGGTGGAGCGGTTGAATCAATCATCCCTTTATTCATTTCACAGCGGTGAGCGATGGCCAAACCTCTTTGAAGTCCCACAAAGCGGAGTTGAATCTGTGGAACAAAACCTGTGTGGAATGGAATGGAATGGAATGGAATAGAATAGAATAGAATAGAATAGAATAGAATAGAATAGAATAGAATAGAATAGAATAGAATAGAATAAATATGGAATAGAATAGAATAAAGAATAGAATAGAAATACAATAACAATAGAATAGAATAGAGAATAGAATAGAATGCAGAATAGAATAGAAGAAATATGGAATAGAATAGAATAAAAAATAGAATAGAATAAAGAATAGAATAGAAATACAATATCAATAGAATAGAATAGAGAATAGAATAGAATAGAGAATAGAATAGAATAGAATAGAAGAAATATGGAATAGAATAGAATAAAGAATAGAATAGAATGCAGAATAGAATAGAAATACAATAACAATAGAATAGAATAGAGAATAGAATAGAATGCAGAATAGAATAGAATAGAAGAAATATGGAATAGAATAGAATAAAGAATAGAATAGAATGCAGAATAGAATAGAATAGAATCTGGAAGGGACCTTGGAGGTCTTCTAGTCCAGCCCCCTGCTCAGACAAGTGACTGTCCAGTGTCTTACGTGGCTCTGTGGTCTGTATGGGTTGGGTGGTTTTGTCTGGGACAACGAGAAGGGGTGAAATATTGCTAATTCGGAAATGATAGTGGGGTCCCTGGTGCACTCTGAGCTTGGTAGTTTCCTTGCAGACGTTTCATGACCCAGCTAGGTAACATCATCAGCACTGGCTACAAATACACTCTTTAATTGATATCAGAAAGGACCGCATCACAGCGATTCTTGGGCTGTTGACCTCTGATTGATGGATTTCCTTCCTTCCTTCCTAGGCCATGTTGCATTATCGTTCACGATTATTACAGATCCTCGACACGCTCGCTTTCGCCGGCCTCTTCCTCGCTGGCTTTACGGAACAGAAACAAACCGTGGAAGTTGAATTATACTCGGATTACAAAGAAGACTCGGTGAGATAATCTTGCTCCCCCTACAAAGCTTTGGATGCAGATCCATCCTTAAAGACCCCCCTTTTCTAATGCAGATAGTAAGAAACGGACTAGAAGTCCTCAGGTTTATGACTACAAATGGGATCAGAATTTCCATGGCTAACCAGAGCAGTCGCTAAGCGAGTCTCCCGACCGATTATACGACCTTTCTTGCCCAGTGGCTAAGCAAATCACGAAAGTCGTTCAGTGGATCATGTAGTCATTAAGCGAATCCAGCTTCCCCTGCCTGTCGGAAGCCCGCTGGGAAGGTCCGCAAATGGCGATCGCGTGACCCCGGGACACTGCAACCGTCGTAAGTCAAGCGTCCATATCCTGATCACGTGATCGTGGAGACGCCACAGCAGTCATAAGTGCGAGAACTGATTCCGAGTCGTTTTTTCCAGCGTGGTTGTAACTTTGAACGGCCGCTCAACAAGATGTTGTAAGGTTGAGGACTTCCCCTCTCTTCTTATGATATTATAAGCCACCTTCATTGTCTATTGTACAGGCATTCCTCGACTTACACACGTTTGCTTAGTGACCAAAGTGACAACGGCGCTGAAAAAAAGTGAGTTATGATCATGTTTCACACTTACGACCATTGCAGCAGCAGTCCCCACGGTCACGTGATTTACATTCAGATGCCGGACAACGGATTCATATTTATGACGGTCGCAGTGTCCCAGGCCCACGTGATCCCCTTTAGCGACCTCTTCACAAGCAAAAAGGTCAAAGGGGGAATCCGGATTCACTTAACAACCGTGTTACTAACTGAACAGCTGCAGTGGCTCACTTAACAACTGTCGCTAGGAAGGTCGTAAAATGGGGCTTAGCAACATAAATTTCGGGCCCTGTTGCGGTCGTAAGTCGAGGACTGCCTAGCTTATCAAAGAAAGCTCTGTTTTATCCGCTCTTATGATCCTGTAGGTAAAAATAACCGGCTGAGCAGAGATTTGATCTCGGGTCTTGGTGACATCAAGGCAAGTTTCTGGATTTAGAGCTGTCCTGACATGCTGGATTTTTGAATTGACAATCTAGCCAGCTGGGTGTTGAAATCCAGCATTTCTGCAAGTGTGTCAAGTTGGGGCAGTCTGGATTAGTTGTGTTGCAATGCTACAACGCGGTGTTTCTCAACCTCGACCACTTCAGGATGTGTGGACTTCAACTCCCAGCTTAAAGCTGGCTGGGGGATTCTGGGAGTTGTCCACCCATCGTTTCAAGCAGGCTGGCTGGGGAATTCTGGGAGTCGAAGTCCACCCCTCTTAAAGCATGCTGGCTGGGGGATTCTGGGAGTTGAGGTCTATACAGTTTAAATTTGCTGAGATTCAGTGCTGCGAGGTTAATATTTTTTATACATTTTTACAAATGCTTGATCCTTGAATTTCCACTAGAGGGGATTAAAATCCCTCTGAATCTGGCACAGCTCAGACAATAAAGAGTTCAGAAGCTTCGGTATCAAATCTCACCGTTTTCACAATCTCGGAGAGTGCTAGCTGATTTCTTAAGCTCCAGATTTTTTTTTTTAATTGTTCTCCTCCGTAACTGTAGCATGTTTATTTCCCCAATCTTGGTCTACTCTAGGGATGGTGGCAAGCCTCTGTAAAATTTGGTTTTCTTTCGCCTGCTTCTTTTCAAACGGCTCTTGGTTTTTTTATTTTACTTTAGTATTCTATTATTTTGTTGTGTAAAGTGGCCAGAGGCATTGGGGACTGTTTAAATCCATGCAAATAAATGTGATTTCAATTTGTAGGCCGCGCAATTGGTAAATCATCTGGGACCAAAACATAACAATTAGGAAGAACACAGCCTTGTCTGTGTTTAATAATCTTAATATTTCCTCTTTCTCTTTTAGTATATTCCCACCATCGGGGCCGTGATTGAAATCCAGACGACTAGAATTCAGATTTACGGGGCCCAGCTGAGAATTCACGCACATTTCACTGGATTGCGGTAAGCAAAAGATTTGTGTCGGATTGGGAAGGGAGCCCTTATCCATTTTTTCCTATACAACGAAATAAGATTTTCCGGTTTAAATCAGAGATGGAAGAGAGCTGTCAGATTATCGGGCAAATCCAGCCCGTTTTAGCGAGATTTAAAAAAAACCCCACTTCCTAGAGTCACAAACTCGGGTGTTGCAATAACTCTGAAATGCTCAAATCTCACTGGTTAACTTAAGTATCCACCTTGCTAATTTCTAGATTTCCAGACCGATTCTTCCCTGATAGGATTTGAAAGAGACTTGAAGAGCTGGTTCTTCTCTTGAGTCTTTGGGGCTGGGATGGCAGAGCTAAACTGGGTTTCCATCACTGGAGATTTTTAAGAAGAGACTGGACAACCATTTGTCTGAAATGGTACAGGGTTTCCTGCTTGAGCAGGGGGTTGGACTAGATGACCTCCAAGGTCCCTTCCAGCTCTGTTATTCTATTCTGTTCCATATTCCACATTTTCTTCTTTCTATTCTATATTCTATTCTGTTCATTCTATTCTATATTCTATTTTATATTCTGTTCTGTTCTATATTCTCTTCTATTTTCTGTTTTCCATTTTCCATTTTCTATTCTAGTGTATTCTAGTCTATTCTATTATTATTCTATTCTATATTCCATTTTCTATTCTAGTCTATTCTATTATTATTCTATTCTATTTTGTATTCCATTTTCCATTCTCCATTCTATTCTCTTCTGTTCTGTTCTATATTCTATTCTGTTCTGTTCTATTCCATTTTCCATTCTTCTATTCTGTTCTATTGTATTCTATTCTATTCTATTCTATATTCCATTTTCTATTCTATTCTATTCTATTCTCAATTTCATTCTGCAGGAGAACCTTTGCATTCAACAAAAGCAAAATCCAACACCCAAGGCTGAATTTAAGGATCAACGTACCAAGATACATGAGCATGAATTCTTAACCAACCATTTTTTCTTCTCTTTGGTCCCCGCAGGTATATCCTGTACAATTTCCCTGTGACTTCGGCCATTTTGGGAGTGGCCAGCAACTTCATGTTCCTGAGCGTCATCGTCCTTTTCAGCTACTTGCAGTGGATCTGGGGCAGTCTGTGGCCTAAAGAAACTCTGTCTGTACAGGTGTGTTTTTGGGGGGGAAAGGGTTTTCTTTTGTCTGCTGTGGCACACGCGCACCCACAGAGACTGCACAACTTTGTAGCTGAGGGGTTGTGAACAGGTTGGCAGGTTTTACCTGCTCCTCCAGATTCGAGCCTCGGGAAAGGCCTCTGATGTTGGGCATGATAATGGATCATTTATTTATCGTGAGATAGGCAGCAAATAAATTATCCAAAAATACGAGGCTAAAACACACGAAGAACGATTGCAGGAATTGGGTTTGTCTAGTGTCGTGAAAAGAAGGACTGATGTGAGAGCATCTTCCAATATCTGAGGGACTGCCACAAAGAAAAGGAGGGTGAAGGTATTCTCCAAAGTCCCTGAAGGCAGGAGAAGAAGCAACGGATGGAAACCTATCTAGGAAAGAAGCAACCTGGAATTAAGGAGAAATTTCCTGGCAGAGAGAACAATTGATCAGTGGAACAACTTCCCTCCAGAGGTTGTGGGTTCTTCATCACTGGAGATTGGAGAGTCACTTGTCTGGAATGGTACAGTGGCGTCTCCTGCTTGAGCAGGGGGTTGGACTAGAAGATCTCCAAGAGCCCTTCCAACTCTGTTGTTCTGTTCAGTACGTTTGATCATCATCATAATTGATAACATCCGCTCTTCCAGGTAAAGCTGCCTTTTGCAATTGACTGATGGGCATTGACACAATCTCCCTCAGTCGATTTCAAAAGGGAACAGCTGTCATCCTGCAAAGAGACCTTTGACCCCTCCAAACATCCACATCTGTCTATCCCAGCTCCTTGGGAAGGACTCAAGAGGCCAAATGCCATCGAAACATCTGCCTGATTGTGCCACAAACCAGAAAAATAACTGAACATCATCAGCATTGGCAAAAATCCCCATTGGTCAATTGCAAAAGGCAGTTTCCATTACCGTCTTATGTTGAGGACTACCCAAATTCACAAACTCAACAAGTACGCATCTACCATTGCTGGACCAAGTCCCAATGAAATAATCACTTTCTGTTTTTTTTTTTTTTTAATTATTATTTCCAAGCAGATCCCAGGCAGGGAGAAATCTGGGCCAATACAAATTTTGGACGATTCACGTCGGCAAATTGTGTTTCCTAAAGAAGGTGAGCTCAGTTGTGTCTTTTGCAAGTCGCAACTCTCAGTTCAGTCACCAAAGAAAGAAGACAGAATAGAATTTTTTAAAAAAACCACACATTATTGTCACTTTAAAAGTACACTAATCGGCATAGATTAAAATGAAATTTCGCTGCATTCAGCTCTCAAAAAATAAAAAATACCATTATGGATATACCCACATACACACACAGGTATGACACAGAGAAACATCACAGCCTAGTTCAAATGTGTACATATGCAAAAATTCTGTGTGTTCATGTTTGTATATGTTTGTTGGAAACTATAGAAGTAGCCCTTGGCTCGTTTAGTGACTGTTCAAATTTACAATGGCGCTGGAAAAAAGCGACTTATATAACCATTTTTCACACAACTGTTGCAGCATCCCCCTGGTCACATGATCAAAACTAGGACGCTTGACAACTGACTCGTATTTATGACAGTTGCAGCGTCCTGGGGCCACGCGATCCCCTTTTGCGACCTTCTGACAAAGTCAGTGGTAACACAACTGTGTTACTACTGATTCACTTAACAACTGTGGCCAGAGAGGTTGTAAAATGGGGCCCTACTCACTTAACAACTGCTTAGCCACAGAAATGTGAGCCTCAGTTGTCACCGTAAATGGAGGACTGCCTCTTAAGATCACACAAGAGGATCTTGGCTTTGCCGTGCCGTTTGTCACGTGGAACAGTCACTAAAGGAACGGTCGTAAGTTCGAGGACTACCTGTAATCTGCTTTTTCCGGCTTTTTTTTTTTTTTTCAGGAGGTGACATAGAAGAAGACATTTCTCCGCTGGAGCCAGAAGATGTTGGAATTGTCGAAGGAGAGAAATCGTGTAAAGAAGGTGCGTTGATTTAAAATTCTCTTTCTCAACCAGGCAGACTCTAAATTCTTTCTGAATAACGATAAAATTGTTAGTCCAAATATCCCAGCCGTCTTACAGTCCGATTTCCTGGCTCTTTCCAGCCTGCCTTTAGTACAGATAGTCCTCAACTTAGCAGCAGTTCATTTAGTGACCGTTCAGAGTAACGACGGCACTGGAAAAAAAGCGACTGAGGACCGTTTACGACCTTTTGCAGCATCACGTGATCAAACTTCAGACGCTTGGCAACTGACTCTTCTTTACGACAGTCGCAGAGTCCCGGGGTCAGGTGATCCCCTTTTGCGACCTTTTGACAAGCAAAGTCAAGGGGGGAAATGCCTTATTCGCTTAACGACCGTGTTAGTCATAAAATAAATTGGCAAACGAGCTGATTTATTTGTTAGTCACGAATAAATCAGCTCGCTTTGCCAATTTATTTTATTGGGTTGTAGATTTCCCTGTCGCTCTGAGCGGTAAGCGCTGCATTCAGGAAGTCCTCGGCTTACAACGATTCATTTAGTGACCACTCAAAATTACAACGGCGCTGGAAAAAAGTGATGGGTGACCGATTTTCATACGACCGTTGCAGCTTTCCCGTAATCACTTGATCAAAATTCGGATGTTTGGCAACTGACTTGTATTTGTGACGGTTGCAGTGTCTTGGGGGTCACATGATCCCCTTTTGTGACCCCAGAATCAATGGGGGAAGCCAGGTTCGCTTAACAACTGTGTTAGTAACTTTACAACGGCAGCGATTCCCTTAGCAACCGTGACAAGAAAAGCCGTAAAATGGAGCAAAATTGATCTAACCACTGTCTCCCTTAGCAACAGATATATTGGGCTCAATTATGTTGAGGACTAGCTGTAAAACAAGGGCTTTTATTTTGATCTGCAGGTAGTCCTCCAAGTTACAAACCATTTAGAATTTCTTTCCTTTTCTTGATTTTATTCTCTCTGTTCTTCTGCAGCGTCCACGACGGAGATGAAGAAAAGCAGTCTTGAAAAGTCCGATTTGGGGACAGAACCCACCGTGGACGCCGGCTCAAACGAAGGTGACTCACTCTTTTACAAGGCCTCCTTTACGCTTCCTTTTCTACTGGCAGACCTCGAGTTACGACCGTTTAGTTGAGCGACTGTTCAAAATCACCGTGTGGGGAAAAAAAAGCAGAGTTACGACCGGCCTTGTAACCGGTTTCAATGAGTCCTGTCTGATTTGGACAAGCTTTTTGGGGGGGGGCGCGGTGGTTACGCAAATTACTGCCATCGCTAAGCGAATTGGGCAGTCGTTAAGTGAATCCTGCTTGACTTCGCTTGTCAGAAGTTTGCTAGTGACGATCACCTGATCCAGAGAGGATGCAATGGTCGTAGACGCAGGCCGGTGGCCATGCGTCCGGATTTTGATCGGGAGTCTGTGGGATGCTGCAGCGGTCATAAGTACGAGGACCGGTTGCAAGTCCCTTTCCTCTGTGCTGTTGTAACTCTGAGCAGTCACTAAGTGAATTGATCATAATTCGAGGATTGCCTGTATCTTTAAAACTCTTCCCCACCCCAAATTACCAGTGTTTTCAGATTCGTTTGGTCCTCCAAAATCCAGCTTTATAACCGTACGGCGTGCCAGGAAAACCCTTTACTTATACAGTTTGGGGGGTCTCTGTTTCAACGCCGATCATGTCCCCTTCATATCGGATCCTAATTTGGGGGGGGGGGTATCCTGTTTTGACAGCGGCAGAATACGACTCTCCGGACGAGATTCCCCTGCTCACCGAGGTCAACCTTCCAGCCCCCTCCCCAGAGAGAAACAGCTCGGATATCCTGCCGCCTGTAACCCGGACCCTCGCTCTCAGCTCGGAGGTCCGCCAGAGAAGTAGCTGCTCAAGTTCCTGATGGGTCACGAGTTCAAGTCCTGCCGCGTGACACCCCCAGCAGCCCACCGCAGGCCTTGCTCTCCCAAGGGCTGCATTTACTCCCTGCTTAGGTTTACATTCCAGTCCCTTCTCCGTACACACAAAACACTGTTAAGTTAAATAAAAGTTGAACGGCGAGTCACTCAACCCAACGGCCTGCTTGCCTGTCTCCGGATCGAAAACCTCCTTTCTCCGAAGAAGGAAGCTGGCGCTTGAGGTATTTGGGAGTCCTCAAGTTACGACAGTAGTCCTTGAGTTACGCCGGGATCTACCTGCTGGGGGCTGCTTATCATTTGAAGTTGTGATGGTTGCTCCCTCCAGGCTAGAGGAGCGAACTTTGGCTTTCATGCCTAAGGCAGGACTAGAACTCACCGTCTCCTGGCGATTGGCCCAAAGTCGCCCAGTGGGCTTTCATGCCTAAGGCAGGACTAGAACTCGCCTCTCCTAGTCATTGGCCCAAAGTTGCCAATCTGGCTTTCGTACCCAAGGCAGGACTAGAACTCACCATCTCCTGGTTTCTCCTGATACTTAACCAACTAGACCACACTGGCTTAAAACCACACTTTGCTCCATTTTCTGACCTAAATAGGAAATTATGCAGGATTTGGGTTTGGGAGCGCACCCTGTCCTCAGCGGTGACTTGGGTGGTGTGAATTTAACCCCAGGCAAACTGCAAGGTGTCTTTGCATTTGGGCAATTTTCCCCTCCTTTTTACGGGGGTTTATTTTAACAAAACCTTGGAGCCCTAAAGGGAAAAAAGAACAATATATTTACTTTTCCACAGTGCAAATGCAAGCTGGTATTTTCAGCCTAGTAAATTCTGATTACCCGATTTTTTTTCCCCCACCTCAGGAATGCGATTGCAAATCCTCTGAGCTGGCTGACTAATTGGGCAACGCAGTCAAAGACCACAAAACTTGTGTTTGCAGAAAGCAAACAGAAACCGCTTCTGGGTTTTAAGCAGGTCACAGAGAAGCCCCTGTATAAGAAACTCCACCTGCCCTAGGCCCTCCGAAATGCCGATGTTTTAAAACGTTTGGACGGAAAGACAAGTTTCTGGTCCTTAGCGCCAAGAAGATGGCTTGGGAAAGGGATTTTTTAAAAAAATCCAGGAAACGTTTGTTCTGAAATCTGAATTGACCCAGATTTGGAGAAAATTCCTTGCAGGATTCAACCCAAATAATTTTATTTTTTTTTAAAAAAAAATCTTAATTCTGCATAAGTCAAACGGCAAATTTTAATTCTTTCCAGTCCTGGAATTTTGCGCAGATGGTCTTCTAGATTCCTTGGTCTAATTTTTTTCTTTTTAATCCTATTAATAGTCAGCTTATGAGGTCACAGGATCCCTCCCAGCCGGCTATTTTTTTTTCAATTTAGCTTGGAGTGGGGAGTGATCCGTCTCTGTCCGGTTCTCCACCCTCCATTTCTGGGAAGGAGAAGCGTCTGCATTCCACAAACCGCAAATAAACTCTATATTAGCCAACTTTGGCTTGGATCTGACCCCCAGGGCTCCCCACCCATCAGGGACGTGTGTGTAATCACACCTCTTTTGCCAGCCACACATTGATGTGTGTTAGTCAGTTTAATCGCCGTTGTGTCATGATCTATCAGACCTTAGCTGGTTTTTTTTCTTTCTTTAACATTTCTCCATGATAAGTTAAATCCTCGATTAACAATCGGACTGTTCAAAGTTGCAATCGAACGGGGGGAAAAAGTGACCTACAAGTCCTCACACTTATGACAGTCACAGCATTCCACATGATCACATGATCAAAATTCGGGTGCTGGGAAACGCATTTAAAATGGTTGCCGTTTCTTGAGGTCACATGGTCGCTATTTGCAGCCTTCCCAGCTGGTGTGGCCGACAAGGAAAGGCAGATTCACTTAAGGACCGCCTAGGTGTCTGACAAGGAAAGGCAGATATGCTTAACGACCGCCTAGGTGTCCGACAAAGAAAGGCAGATTTGCTTAATGACTGCATGGTTCACTTGAGAGATTTGCTTAACAACCGTGAGAGGGAAAAAAGGCTTGTAAAGCCAGACTCGCTTAAAAACGGCCTTGCCTTGCTTAGAAATGGAAATTCTGGCCTGATTGTGGTCGTAAGTTGAGGACTGCCTTTATTCACATTACAGATAGACCTCAACAACAGTCCATTTAGTGACCGTTCAGAGTCCCAACGGCACTGAAAAAGGAGTTATGATTGTTTTTCACACTTATGACCATTGGTCATGTGATTTACATTCAGACGCTTGGGCAACTGACTCATAGTTATGACGGTCGCAGTGTCCCCGGAGTCACATCCTTTTGCGACCTTCTGACAGGCAAAATCAATGGGGAAGCCAGATTCACTTCACAAACGTGTTGCTAACTTAACAACTGCAGTGAGTTACCTCAGAACTGTGGCAAACAAGGTCGTAAAACGGGGCAAAATTCACTTAACCAATGTCTCGCTTAGCGACATAAATTTTGGGCCTCAATTTTGGTCATCAGAGACTACCTATACATTCTTGTATTGACAACTGAGCCGGCTTCAGCTTGGTTTAATAAAATAAATATTTAAGGAACGTTTAATACATAATCTTTGAGAGTTTAGACCGCAATGCTAAACATGATAGCACAGGTATACATCATAATTTGTGTCCGAATATTTAAGGAACACCCAAGGCCCCAAAATAACAGTCCCCCCATAATTATTTTCAGGCGAAAGGAAATGAGATTTTCCTTAAAAGCCGTTTTTTTCTCAAGGTTTACGCTGAGTCACTAACACGATGTTCTGACTCAGCACGAGATGTTCCCAAGCAAAAAACATTTCCAGGAACAATGTAAAAAGATCTTTTGGACCGGCATGAATTAAATCCAAGATATTTTTGCTAACTGGAGAAACGTCTGCCAGAAAATAGAAATGGCTCAGCTGCCGGATGACAATTTGGTGTTTTGAAAAAAAAATGAAAAAGAAATTGTATTTGGGTAGCTGGTTTTAAAACTCTGGCTGCCTGGATGAATTCGTCTTTTGTGTCAGCCCCATCCCACCTGCAATTTTCATGGATTTTTTTTTCCAGAGTGGATGAAGGAGACGTTTAATAAACGCAAGAAAATATTTAAGAGAACTCGGCTGAAGAATTTAGATCTGTTTATTTTAGCAACCAAGTGGCTACAGGCGGGGAAACAAATGGATAAAATCAGCAAACATTGAATGAGACTTTTGGGGTAAACAATATTCAGTTTTTTGAGGACTCCCTAAGGATGAGTCAGGGAGAAGTTTTCCTACTTCTGGCTTTCAGGAGCAGGTCGAAGCAAAAATAATTAAATAAAAAGTAAAGCACTTTTTCCGTGGGAAAAGAAATGGATTGACTATTTAAGATGCCACTTTCTTGTAAAAAGGATCCAAAAAATACATTCAATTTGCGGCCATAATCGGGACTAAGCGCGGCGGTTGTTAAATTGGTCATGCCTTGTTCAGAGGCAATCCACCCATCTTAAAGCAGGCTGGCTGGGAAATTCTGGGAGTGTAAATCCACCCCTCTTAAAGCATGCTGGCTGGGGGATTCTGGGAGCTGAAGTCCACCCCTCTTAAAGCATGCTGGCTGGGGGATTCTGGGAGTTGAAGTCCACCCCTCTTAAAGCATGCTGGCTGGGGAATTCTGGGAGTTGCCCTCCAAGAAACCCAGCAATCAGATTTGGGGAAAAGGGCAGATGAACTGACCAGTTTATCTGACCTCAACCTTGCTCCTTCCGTCTGTAAAACGGGTGCAAACGCCCTTGCTGCAGAGGGAGTGGGCCAGTGAACAAAGTTACGTCGCGCCTGAAATTAGATGTTTTCTCTCTTGAGAGGATGTCTCTCTGATGAATCGACAACAGAATGACTGGAGCCTGGGTGGAATCCCTGATCCAGGTTGAGTTTGCCAGGAAATCTGTCTGTCAGGGATGAGTCTTGGCTGCTGGTCCCAAAATCCTGTTGTTGTTTTTTTTCAAGTGCCCCTCCCTTTTCTTCCTTCTCTCTGTCTGCCTTGTTTTTTTCACAGCTCTGGGTTAATCCCTCCCCACCTCCCCCAAGAGAATAACAGAAAGCAGAGTTGGAAGGGACCTTGGAGGTCATCTAGTCCAACCTCCTGCCCAAGCAGTCCCGTCTCTTCTGGAAAACGTCCGGTGATGAAGCTCGCACAACTTCTGTTCCACTGGTTGATTTGTTCTCACTTTCAGAAAATTTCTCCTTATTTCTATATCTATTTCCTTGATCAGTTTCCATCCGTTATTCCTGGTCTGGCCTTCGGCTGCTTTGGAAAATAGGTTGACCCCCTCTTCTCTGTGAGAAACCCCCCCCTCAAATATTGGAACACCACTATCTTGTCTCCCCCGGTCCTTCTCTTCACTAGACTAGCCATGCCCAGTTCCAGCAACCGTTCTTCATATGTTTTAGCGAATTAAGTGTCTTTAGTTTATTTAACACAGTGGTTCTCAACCTTTCTAATGCCGCGACCCCATAATACAGTTCCCCATGTTGTGGTGACCCCCCCACCACTTATACATCACCGGGTGCCAGGGGCGTGGCCAAAGAAAAGGGGGAAAAAATGGCGGACAGCCTTGTTTGGCGACCCCCGTGAAATGGTCGTTCGACCCCAAATGGGGTCCCGACCCACAGGTTGAGAACCACTGATTTAACAGAACAGAATTGGAAGGGACCTTGGAGGTCATCTAGCCCAACCCCCTAGACCATTTGAGACAAAAGGCTGTCCAATTTCTTCTTTAAAACTTCCAGCGATGAAGCACCTACAACCTCTGGAGGCGGAAGTTTTATTTTTTTATTTATTTTTTTGCCGAGCAGATTCACGGCAGACGGGAGTGTGCAAACAGTTCCTTATAAGGCATGCTTTGCTTTCTTTGCCCAAACACCTGCAGTGGCAGGGGCTTTGGAGGCAAGGCCAATATTTTTTTTTTTTTTTAATGCAAAACAGAAAACCCACCCCTTGGCTCTCCTTTCCCTGCTTCTCACTGGCTGGACCCGCTTGTAAAAAGGGGAGGGGATGAGGGATGAGTAAGATATTGGATGAGTAAGATATAAAGTTTTTCTCTGGGAGCGAGTCTTAGCACAGTCCGTCTCCGTGCCTTGTAAAGGGAGGACAAAATCCTGATTTAGCTGCTGGTGGCCCAGCTGGGAAGGTGATGCTCAACAGAGCTTGGGAGAAAAGCTCATTTTTTTCCCTGTATTTTTACAGAGAGGGGGGGATCCCCTTAATGCTGGACAGCTTCTTCCTGGATTCCTGAATTCAATTCCTTCACTCGTGCTTGCATCCCGAATTATCCTTCCCTGAAATTTGAGCCGGATAGCGCCGAACACGACAGGTGAGACATCATCGCTCTGTTGCCGGTTAATTCGGTTGCTTTTTCCGATGAGTTGGGCACTTGCAACCATTATCCAAGTGGTGAAGCCCGGATCTGAAAGTCCCACAGGGATAATTGGAAAAAGCCTTTGGCATTACAGGGAGTCCTCGACTTAACGGCCATAATTGGGGCTGGAATTTCCTTCATTAGGCAAAGGAGTTGTTAAGGGAATCGCAGCCAATTTTACGACCTTTTTGCAGGCGTTTCTTGACCCAGCTAGGTAATATCATCAGTGCTGGAAGGGAGGGGGGATTGGGGAGAGAAGGTGAAAGAAAATGGGAGGAATGGGGGAAGAGGAGGAGGAGGAGGGGGGGGGATTGTGGGGTCCTTGGTGCTCTCTGAGCTTGGTTGTTTTCTTGCAAACATTTCATGACCCAACTAGGGAACTTTATCAGTGCTAGAAGGGAGTGAGGTTTCCAAGGAGGAGGAGGAGGATAAACAGACATTGAGGTCCTTGGTGCTCTCTGAGCTTGGTTGTTTTCTTGCAAACATTTCCTGACCCAACTACAACGATCATAAACCCAAAGCCCTGGCTGACAGCCACTTTAATCAGTGCCGCGGTCACGTCAAACGGTCGCTAAACGAATTGTTGCAAGTAATGCCTGTATATCAACTGTGCCTTTTGTTCCCTCTTTCGTCGTCTTCTCCCTAGGAGCCATGCAAGCTTGGACGCTCTTCCCCATCATGGCTTGTGTCCTCCTGACGCTCTGCCCCCGGGGGTCCACGACCAGCATGGGCCACCCCCTGCCCAAACCCCTCCAAGGCCAATACACCCCTCACCCATCGGGTAGCCATACCCCGCTCTCCGGACCGGAGAAAAGCTCTCCGGCGGCGTCCGACAATTACGAAGACTACTACGATTATTACGACAGCTTTTCAACCACCAAGCCCCCCAGTTCCAGCTCCCCGGGGCCGCTGACCCCCTTTTGTGCCTACGACCGCTGCAAACACCTCCAGGTGCCTTGCGTGGAACTCAGCCAGCTGAGCAGATGTTTGTGTCCTGGCGTCACCGGACCCGACGTGGCCCCGGACCCTCCCCGTTTACGAGCTGTCCACGTCAGCGAGACCAGAGCCAGCGTGCACTGGTGCGCCCCTTCTTCCACGGTCCACGATTACTACCTGAAGTACCAGCTCCTCGGTGAGAACTTCATTTCAGGGTCCCCACTAAACAGCACCGTCCGCTTCACGGTGGTCCCTGGCCTCGTCCCTGGAACCGAATACCTCCTCTGTGTCGTCGCGGCCAACCGAGCTGGGTCCAGCCCGACGGACGAGGGCATTCGAGAACATGGGCCCTGCCGGCGGGTTCAAACCCCGGCTCATCAGAGGACCTACGTCTACATCGTGGTTGGTTTGGCCTCTGCTCTCATCCTCGCGGGTGTCTCTGCCCTGCTTTGGCATTTCTATGTACGGAAATCCAAGCCCGTTCAGCACGGATCCTTGGATAACATCCTGGACGGAGAGGCGAGTTCGGGACACTCCGGAACCACCAACAGCTCGTTCCGGACGGAAGAACAGCTGTGATGGTGTCGCCCCATCGTGTCCTGTTTGGGACAACCGCAGAGTATCTTTCTGCGGAGGGGACACTGAGGCACAATCCTGGACTGGCTGCGCAAAAGGTGGAAGGCAAAAGGGATCCGATGCCGGATGCTCAGAGCAAAGCTGGACGGCCGTTTTCAAAGCAAATCGATCCTCTTTACCCAGGCAGTTCTGGACTTATGACTGTTTGCTGGGCGGCTGTTCAGCGTTGCGGCGGCATTGAAAAGAAGCGACTTATGACCCAGTCCTCACGCTTAATGACCGTCCCAGCATCCTCATGGTCACATGATCAAAATTCGGGCGCTTGGCAACCGGCGTGTATTTAAATGAAGGGGGCAGCATGCGGAGTGACGTGATCGGCACTTGTGAGCTTTGCAGCAGGCTCCCGACCAGCAAAATCAGTGGGGAAAGCTGGATTCACTTAGTGACTGTGTGATTCATTTAGCAACTGTGGCAAAAAAAAGGTTGTAAGATTGGTCTGTTTCACAGCTGCCCTGCTTAGCAATAGAAATTCTGGTCCCAATTGTCATTGTAAGTCGAGGACTGCTTGTGTTCTCCCTTTCCTTCCTTCCTTCCTTCCTTCCTTCCTTCCTTCCTTCCTTCCTTCCTTCCTTCCTTCCTTCCTTCCTTCCTTCCTTCCTTCCCCTCCCTCCTGCTCTTTCTTTCTTTCTTTCTTTCTTTTTCTTTCTTTCCTCCCTCCCTCCCTTCTCCTTCCTTCCTTCCTTCCTTCCTTCCTTCCTTCCTTCCTTCCATCCATCCATCCATCTTCCTTTCTTTTCCTGATGGCTGCTAGTTCTTGGAATGTAGGGGAATTTTCCAATCCAGATGTTATGAATAATGTTTATTTATGTATTTATTAGCTTTTTTTTCTCTGTCGTTCTCTCTCTTTTAATCATGTCAAGGTACAGCTATCCCCACCCTGGTACCCTCCTCACAACAGTGTGAATTGATGACAGGGCCAGATGGGAAGACCACACAAGAAAATGGAATGAGAGAAAAGGGATTGACTGAGGGGGGGGGGAAATCTGTTTGGGGGGGGCAGGGCAGCTATGTCCTGTCTGTTGCAATGATTGAAGGTGCTTTGAAGAAAATTTGCTATGTTTGGGCATCTGTTTTAGTGGCTGGCTAGCATCTTCAGATCTATAAGCGCTCATCCTTGGGGGTTGGACTAGATGATCTCAAGATCCTTTCCAACGGTTAGATTCAGTGACTCCTTAGCAAGGGATATTTTTATTTTCTACCAATTTGGCATTTAGACACTGCCAAATTCTATCCTTCTGGTCTCCAAGTAAGAGGGAAAAACTCCACTTTGAACATCTAAAGAGTTACCACTGGCTAGTCTGGACTTTGGGTGCACATTTCATTGGTCTGTCTCGGTACGAAGCCAGCGGCTTCCTTTCTGCTTATTTAACAAGCCTCTATTTATTTTGCACAATGAGGACTAGACTCTTATTTTTGCTTTTAGGAGAAAAGCCATAGCTCCGTGCGCGGTTTGGAAAAAAATTCCTCTCCAGTGTTTGTCTGTTGTGGAGACATTTGTGGTTCCACTTGTCCTTGAGTGGCTTAATCATTTAGCTGTAAGAAATATTTTTGTGTGTCTCTTGTGTGTGTCTGTGTGTGTGCGCGTGCATGGGGTTGGGCCCCCACAATGCTATTCTCTCCGTTTGGCCTAAAAAGCAACTTTCTGAGCCTAACCAACAACTTTAAGAACCACCCTGTCAACGGATGTTTCATTTTTATTGCTGGGGAGACATGGGGAAGAATAAAATTGGGTTTAAATCTGATGTCTTGGCTTCTTCTACTGTTGCTTTCCTCCTACAGGGCCTCAGAAGAACGAAAAGAAAAGGGGTGGATATTTTTTTGAATCGGGGAGAATAAAATGGGGCTTAAATCTGATATCTTGGGTGTTTTTTTTTTCTGTTGCTGCTTTTCCTCCCTCAGAAAAATGATGAGGAAAAAAAGGTAAATTTCCCCCCAGCCGCCCCCGATCCTTTCCTATCCGTGTCCCAAGACTGCAGTTTTTAACTTGTGGCTGAATTTGGCCAGCTGTTCTGCCTCCTCCAGGAAAATTAAACATTTTCCAGATGAGAGAAGGGACGGCAACAACTGAAGATGCCCACCGTTCAGTCTGTTTGGGACAATTTGTACCCACATTCCTTGGGGTCTGTCTTAAATGCCTCTCTAACTTCAAAACCAGATGTGCAACAGATTTTTTTTTTCCCAGCTTCGTTTCCCACCCTTTCCTTCTCTCCCCCTGACTTTTCCATGTGTTGCCTGTCAGCTTTAAAAACATTGGTCCTGCGGATGTCCAAAAAGAGTCCACACAAAATAACTTCAGAAAGATGATCTTTGCAGAGGGAATCGGATGAGAAGTTCTTTAATCTATATTTACCAGAAAAGGTTAAACAAAAAACATTCCCCTGCAAAATGATTACTTTTAAAGCTGGAGGGTGGCCTTCGGTTCACAGAGCATACCTCAAGAGGCAGAACATTTTAATTTTCCATTCCTTAAGGGTGGGAATGTCTTTAACTTCCTTTTGGAGTTTATGTGGTGCTGAATTTTTAAATCACAAGGGATAGGCTTGGATGGAGAGATAGAGAGATGATAGATAGATAGATAGATAGATAGATAGATAGATAGATAGATAGATAGATATAGAGACAGACAGACAGACACAGAAAGATAAATAAATAGAAGATAGCGATAGATATACAAAGAGAGATGATAGATAATAGATAGTAGATAGATAAACAGAGATAATAGATAGATAAATAGAAGATAGATATACAAAGATGATAAATAGAAGATAGAAGATGATAGATAGATAGATAGATAGATAGATAATAGATAGATAGAACATAGATAGGTAATGATAGATGTAGATAGAGATAGATGATAAATAGATATAGATAGATAATGATCGATAGATAATGATAGATATAGATAGATAATGATAGATAGATAGATAGATAGATAGATAGATAGATAGATAGATAGATAGATAGATAGATAGATAGATAGAAGTTCACAAAAGGGGATCACTTGACTCTGGGACTCTGCACCCGTCATAAATATGGAGTCAGTTGCCCAGTGTCTGAACTCTGATCACGTGACCACGGGGGTGTTGCAATGGTCGTAAGTGTGAAAAATGGTCATCAGTTGCTTTTTCCCCAAGCCGTTGTAACTTCGGTCACTAAACGAATAAGGATTGCTTATAAAAGACCCTAAAATAAAAGGATCACCCAAAGGTGGCTGAGACGGTCTTATCTGAAAATAAGACCCAGTTCTTGTGTACAAAAACATCCCCGACACGACCAAACAACGGCTTCCAAGAGGGACGCTAAGCAGGACATCCCACGCGTGGGTTCTGGGCTCTTGCCAGCTGCAAATGCGTCAACCGGAAAAGGATTATAGGGTTTAATTTTGGCTGCTCCATACAAGCTAACCCTCGGCTGCTTTGCTGCTCTAAAAATAATAAAAACCCTGGCTTGGAAATGAAGACCAGGCATGATGCACAAAAGACGATTGATGGCCTTGCTCAAACCCCTAGGCTTGACCACGGCAGGCACGTCTATGTTCAGGGCGTAATTTTATCTGTGTTGATTCATTCGCTCATTCATTCATTTGATCCTTGCTCTCCCGCTTAGGTAAGCTGAGCTGGAAGGAAGGAAGGAACCAGCCTGGTGCATTGCTGGCATTTTTGCGGTTAGCTCTTGGTAAACAGTCAGGGGACACGCCAGGGATGGGATGGGGCTAGCAGGGGCTGAATGTTGCCCTTGTTCGCTCAGTCTCGTTGCAGTCCGCAGCTCAGCTGAGCAAGCGGCCTTGTTACTCCCCTTTCTTTCAGACCTCTAATTATATATATATATATATATATATATATATATATATATATACATACACATACACGAAGTAAAGGGGAGGGAGGGAGGAAAGAAGAAAATGGAGAAAGAAAGAGAAAGAGAAAGAAGAGGAGAGGAAAGAAAAGGGAGAAAAAAAAGAAGGGGAGAGAAGGGAAGGAAAGAAAAGGAAAGGGAGAAAAAAGAAGAGAAGGGGAGGAAAGGGAAGGAAAGGAAATGAAAGGAAGGAAAGAAAACGAGAAGAAAGAAAGGAAACGAAAGGGAGAAAAGGGAGACAAGAAAAAAGAAGGAAAGGAAAGGAAAGGAGGAAGGAAACGAAAGGAAAGGAAAGGAAAAATGGAAGACAGGAGGGGAGAAGGGGAGAGGAGGAGAAGAGAAGAGAACCAACAATAACATAGCATCAGATGCACACCAGCCCAGATCACTTCTTTAAACATTCATTTATGTTTTCAGGGTCTCAGATTTTAAAATAACCATGAGTTTTAAAAGGTTTAGGTAGCCTTGGGGGGGGTGTCAAATGGCTCTAATCTGTGTTTTGAAGGTCCCATTTGGATTTACTGGTGTGGGTGGCTGTTGAGATGATAAGGGAATAAGTAGAATAATAGAGTTGGAAGGGACCTTGGAGGTCTTCTAGTCCAACCCCCTGCTCAGGCAGGAGACCCGATCCCATTCCAGACAAACGGTTGTCCTATCTCTTCTTAAAAAACCTCCAGTGATGGAGCACCCACATCTTCTGGAGGCAAGTCGTTCCTCTGATTAATTCTTTTCACCGTCAGGAAATTTCTCCTTCGTTCTAGGTTGCTTCACCCCTTAGTGAGTTTCCATCCCTTGCTTCTTGTTCTGCCTTCAGGTGATTGGGGGGGGGAGGTCATAAGCAACTTGGAAAAGCTTGGAATAAAAAAAAAATGCTGAAATGTGCATGGAAAAAATTGTGAGAATTGCACGCTGGGCGGGTGCAGCGCTGTGCAAGCCAGGGGGATAATTATTCATTTTATTTATATGTCTTCTTTCCAAACCATCCATTTCCCTGAAAGTTTTTCTGTTGTTTTAATGATTATTCCACCGACGTTATGTCTTACGGGGTAAAACAAGGCTGTTGGGATGAAGTTGTATGAAACAGGGAGATTTGTGTGTTCAAAGCTGGACGTTTGAGTCTCGTTCCTCCAAATAACCCCTCTGTTTATGTTCGTATGGATGTTTTTCCTTCTCGCCTTTGGATTTCATTCCTTGCCAGGCAATCGTTCATTTTTTTAAAATTTTTAAACAGCTTTGCATTGTGTAATTTCCTTCTCCTCTGCCTAAGTCCAACGTGATGACAGGCAGCAATTAGGGAGTAAAGTTGAGGGATTCAGGAGGGTTGAGAATTTTTAGACATAAACAGTCTAGCCTTGGAGGATGAGCAGGCGGTGATCTCGTGTTCTTGCCTGTGGATCCCTGCTCAGTTGATTGCTTGACAGAATAACACAGTTGGAAGGGACCTTGGAGGTCTTCTAGTCCAACCCCCTGCTCAAGCAACAGACCCTGTGCCCATTTCAGACAAGTGGCTATCCAGTCTCTTCTTAAAAACCTCCTGTGATGGAGCATCCACAACTTCTGGAGGCAGGTTGTTCCACTGGCTAATTGTTCTTGCCGTCAGGAAATTTCTCCTCAGTTCTAGGTTGCTCCTCATAAATGGAGGACTGGATCATAAGTCACCTTTTTCAGTGCTGTCTTGACTTCCAACTGTTGCTCAACACATGTTTGCAAATT